ATAAATGGATAAAAAAGAGTAAGAGACAAGAAAAAAAGACAGGAAAAAAGATGGAAACAAAAAACCAAACAGCCATAAAAACCCATGCAGTTGCAAAAACACAAAATTGAAGCATGATCACAGTCCTATTTATATGGCAGTCTCAGTTCAACTAGTGAACCCTTTCCCTCGTGTTCACACACGTGGAGGCTTTATGGAAACTTCCTGCAGGGATGGGCATCCGGGCCTGGCTCGCTCCTGCTACCCGGCCCTTCTCGGAACATTGCTGTGACCACAAGCTACCTCTTCTTCTCACCCTCCCCAATCCACAGTGTCTCTGTTTGCAGGTCTCCGAGCTGGTCCCCCCACGGCCTGCCCAGCTGCCCCTCTGTGAGTGTGGAGGCTGTTGGTCTGGATTGGCCCTCTGAGCCCACCTCCCCACTGCAAGCCTCACCCTTCCACCTATAGGCCTTTGCCTGAGAGGTCCAACCCCCTCAGCTTTTCCAAGGAGTGGAGGGTGTAGTATGATTGGTTCAGTACCCAGTTTTCTGATTTCTGCCAAATTCCTTTACTTCCTACTCCCTTCCCTGCAAATCCTGCAGCTGATTCTGTCTTCTTCCTCCACAAGCCTTCTGCCAAGGTGCCACTCTCCCTCTTTCCACTTGCGGTCCTGCTCCATTCACTCACCGACCAATGAACATGGTGAAGCCTCAGGGCTGCTGTGCTCCTCAGGCCCTGGCGGGTTGGAGGGGGCTCCCACGTGGGCACTTGATGGTGGGTGGTGGGAAGCGAGGAGGACACCTGTGAGCACACACATCCATCTGGGGGAAGGCTGGGCAAAGGCCTATTCCACATCCAGTCTGGACTCTTGTCTCACCTCTCACAGACACTGCACACGTATGTAGCCCCAAGCCATAGTCTTCTCAGCGCTCTGGCCCTGGTGCCTAATCAGGGTCGTGTGCCTATCTTCTACTTCCCAGAGGGCCATCCTTGTCCTCTCGAACACTGCTTTGTTTCTCTGATGCCCTGCCCTGCAAGCAACTTGCTTACTGTGTTCCTCTTCTTTGTGGTGAAAGTAGACAAGCGGAGGCTTTCCCAGGGGCCTGGCTGCCAGAGGTACAGGTTCCCTCCCTAAGGGTGCTTGATCCTCTCCAAAGATAGTATATATGCAGGACCCAGGGCATAAAGGGTGCCGTGGTCTGGCTTCCCCTTCTTCCCCTTGACACTGGGGTTGCATCTAGTGAGTGTCTCCTTCTGTTTGTCTACCTGTATCTGGCTTTCTTTGCTGCTGACTTTTCAGTGTACCTGAATTTTTCTGACGTAGGGTTATGTCCTGGAAGCACCTTCTCTCACCACTGCCACCTAGTGGGCATGGTGGAATCCTACTAAAATGGAATCTAGGATTTTCTACATATATGATCATACGATCTTCCACAGGAGTTAATTTTACTTCATCCTTTTCAATTTGGAAGCACTTTGTGCTTAATTGTTCTGCTTAAGACTTCTATTCTGTGCTAAATAAAACTGCTGAGCATCCTTGCCATGTTCCTGATCTTTGAGGAGGAGCTTTCAGTCTTTCTGCTGTGGGTTTCTCAGGTATAGCTCTGATGTTTAGGTAGTTTCCTTCTGTTCCTAGTTTGTATCATAAAAGGGTGCTGAATTTCCTCAAGGGCCTTTTCTGCATCAAGATCATGTCTTGTTTTTTTATTCTGTTAGTGTGGTACCTAACACTGATCAATTTTCATGTCAAACCATCTTTCCTTTGTAGAATAAATCCCACTTGGTCATGGTGAATACTCCTTTTAATATCTCAACTTCAGTTTGTTAGTATTTTGTTGAGAATTTTTCCACCAGTGTTGATAAGGAATGTTGATCTGGAGTTTTTGTTTTGTATTTTGTTTTTGGCACTGGCTCTGTATCAGGGTAATGCTGACCTTTTAGCAGGAGTTATTGAGTATTCCTTTCTTTTTTAAATTAATTTTATTGGTCCTCTTTTTATTACTAAGGAAAGCTTGAGAAATGTTACCATTGGCTCTTTAAATCTTGGCAGAATTCACACGTTAAACTGGCAGGTCCAGGGCTTTTGCCTGGTGATTTTATTTTATTATTATTTTTTTTGGTATCAAGGATTGAACTCGGGTCCTTGCTCTTGGGGAGCAGGTGGCGAAACCACTGAGCTAAACCCCCAGCCCTTGCCTGGTGATTTTAAAGTACTGATATATTCTCACTAGCTATAGGTCTACTCAGTGTATTTCTTTGTCATTTCGTCTTAGGAGGTTTTGTATTTCCAGGAACTTTTCCAATTCGTCTAGGTCAGTGGTGGCGAACCTACGGCACATTTGCTGCAGCTGGCTGTTTGTTATCATTGAAAGCTCTAAAAGGTTATCTGTGGACATAAGATTGTTATAGCACTTTTACAGTCCTTTGTATTTCTGTAGAAGTAGTAATCTCTCCACTTTCATGTCTCATTTTAGTTTTTTTTCCCTTAGTCCATCTAGCTAAAGGTTTATCTATTTTACTCTTTTCAAAGAACTAATTTGGTTTCATGGATTTTCTCTAATATTTTTCTATTCTCTCTGTCCTAATCTTACACCAGTTCCTTAATTTGTAAAGCTAGGTTACTTGAGTCTTTCTACTGTAAGCATTTATAGCTGTACATTTCCCTGTTGGCACTGTTTTCTTTCGCTGTATCATATAAATTTGGTATTTTGTTCTCATTCATCTCCAAGAATTTTCTAATTTCCTTGTGATTTCTTCTTTGATCCACTGGTTAAAGGTGTGTTAATTTACACAAATTTGTGCATCTTCTAGCTTTCTGTTACTGGTTTCTAGTCTTCCCATTGTAGTCAGATAAAATACTTTGAATGTTATCTAATCTGTTGAGCCTTAAATTTGTGGTCTACCATATGATCTATCCTGGAAAATGTTCCACGACTTAGCACAATCTTTGGACAAAGTAAGAGCTCAATAAATGTCTGACCAGTAAGTTCTTGGCCTCTGATGACAGGGAAGTCAGAATCAAAGCAGAGGCCTGTGTGACCTTGCTCAACACCTTAACTTTCACACGCTTTCCCAGTTGAAATATCACAGTTCCTGACTCATGGCCTTGCTGTGAGAACTGGATTAGGGTAATGTCATCTTCTCCTCTACCTGTTCTTGCTCCAAATTCTAGAAGCCCAGACTCTCCTAAAATCAGACTGAAATGAATGTGGCCCCCTTCACTCAAGGCTTCTAGAAGGCAAAACGAACCTCTGCCACAGTGAGATGGATTGGATCTGGGTCTGCTCACCGGCTTTGGTGCTGCTGGTGGCTGGGCAATCTTCGGTGCACTACAGGCCTTGACTTTCCTCTACACTCCTCCATCTGTGTAGAGACACTGCCCTTAAGGGCCACGCACAGTTCTCTTTTCCTTTGTGCCTTAGTCATTTTCATCACTGACACTTGCAACTTAAAGAAGAAGATGTTTATTTTGGCTCACGTTTCACAAATGTCAGTCCATGTCTGGCAGGCTTAAAACTCAAGAACAGGGTGGCAGAAGGGCCTGGGTGGAGGGAAGGTGTTCATGTTAGGGTGGCCAGGGAGCAGAGAGTGAAGGAAGGTGCCAGGGAGGGAGAAAACTCTCCAGGGTCATGCTCCCAATGACCCACCTCTTCCAACCAGACCCCACCTCCTAACAGCAAGTCAGCTGTACAGCCCCCACGATCCAATCACCTTTCAAAAGCCCAGTCTAGGAACACATGAGGTTTCAGGGGGACATCTAGATATAAACCATAACACTTCGGAAGGAGCTCCTTAACCTGTGAAGGGGTTGAAATGCCCCTGATCCCTCCATTTCTATCCTCCTAGACTATAAGGGTGGTCCCCAGTTCTCATCTGGAACTGACCAAAGCAAACACAAGTCCCAGGACACCTTGGTGTAACTTTACTCACAAACTCAGACCCCCAGCCAGGCTCAGCACAGAGGGTGTGTTCTCCCCAGTGGAAAATCAAACACAGAAACAAAAACACACAAAAAACCTCCAGACAGCATGTTTGTTAATACTAACCTTTTTAATTTAAATTAATACCATTTGAGGAAGACAAATGCAATTGATAGAAAATATAAAAACTTTTACTGTACAAAGTTTACATCACATTCAAAAACAGCAAAATGTGTGCCTCGTGGCCACAGAAGACGGTAGGTGTGTACACACAGGTGACAGCCTGGCCAATGCTGCAGCATGGCAGGAGCCTCCCTTGGTGTCACCCCCAAGTCACTATAGCACAACACAGGCTCACAGGGCCTGCCACACCCTGCTGAGACCACATGAAGAAATGCCAGATGGCAGAGGGTGTTTTGATTTGGTGACACAGACAGGTCAATTTTGCTAATACACTGCTCACAATGAACCCAGCGCTAGCTAGGATTCACGCCTTCGAGTCACACAGAAGCCTGGGAGCTGCAGCCCTGGTGGTTAAAGGCCTTGGGGTGAGGTTGAGAACTACAGGTACGTGCAAGGGCCAAAGCGCGGACTATAGTCTCAGAGCCCAGGCGGGACCTCTGCAGCCCCTGACCTTCTCCCTCCCCTTCACAGTGGGCCGTGAAAGCTGAATTCACAGTATCTGTCATCCTTCATGTGTCTCCAAGGCAGACAGGCAGAGCACACAGAAGGGCAAACACATCTTCCTAACCTCAATTCACAGTCACTTAAATAGAAACAGGAGAAGGGGAAGTACTGTGGGGGATCTTCTTAAATGCCAGCCAGTGCAGAAGTGGCCAGCTGAAAGCCAGGCCTTGGAGAGGACAGGGGAGGGGCCCCAGTAACTCAGCCCCACACTTGGAGTCAAGTGGCTCCTGGTTCCTGGCCCAGTTCAGGCCCTCAGCAAATCATTTCCTAAGGCGGAAATGTCATCATTCCTGTACCTGGGGCCCCACCACTTGTACAAGACCATGTACACAGCAGGGGATCAGTGGGGACTTTCTGAACTGTGGCCCTAAGGGGACACAGCCAAACCCAGACTGACTTTCTGTGGGCTGTGCATCACCCACTGTGGCCTGGATCTGAGGGTGGGGAGGTGAGCCCGATTTGTTCAGGTGCATCCATCTGACAGGGAAGGCCAGTGTCACAACAAGAAGGTGAAAGGCTGGAGTCACATGTGCTGTCACCTCTATGCACATTTCGGGGGGCGGTAACAGGGATTGAACTCGGGACCTTGCGCTTGTGAGGCAGGCAGTGGCACCACTGAGCCAAATCCCAGGCCCTGCTACCACCTCTACAAAGGGGCAGGGATTCGATACCTACAGAGGCAATGGCCACGTATCGCAGGGCTCTGGGTTGGGGAGGTCACTCTGGGGAGGTGACGTGGGAGACCAAAGGGATCATGGGGGTAAAATGACAGTCCTGTCATAGAACAGAAGTCACCCTCACAGAGCTGAACCCAAATGGTTTATAGCTCCTCTTTCTTCTCCCCATGCTGACTGGAAAGATTTCAAAGCCCCTGACCCAAGGGTGGGCCACGCTCACCAGGGTAGTGGGGGGAGTGCGGAGCAAGGCTGCTCAGCATGGAGAGCAGAGAGGCAGCTCCACCACTTCTTATCAGAGTGGCTCATTTTATGTGACTTATGTGGATCGGACTCTGATGCTAGGAAAGGCTCTGAAGACTGGGGCTCTGCCAGGTGGATCTCACTGAAGGGGAGCAGCCACACGGCCACCCCCATCTGAGCTCAGAGCACAGGGCCTGGATCCAAGCATGTCTACTTCCTTTCTGGTTGTGGAGTCTCCTGCAGCCTAACCTCCACTGGTGGGCTTCTTTGCCATTGGGAACTTCCTCTGTAGATGACGGTTACTGGCGGCGTCAGGTGGATGCTCTCACATCAAAGACTCTCTGGATCCAGCCCCTCCTACTCATGTGACACAAGCAGAAGGCCTGACACTGCTGGGAAGGGCTCTGCAGATAGGGCTCAGGAGGTGGGGTGACAAGGTGGGACAGTCTCATGCTTCCAGCTGAGCTTAGAGCCTGAACTAAGGAATCAGGAAGGGGCAAAAGGGTTTCACTAGGGCAGGGAAGTGGAAGATGTGGGGAGTTCTAGAACAGTCTACCATGACTGACAATGGGTTTCTAAAGTGCCAGGGTTACCCTGCGGCCAGGACAGGGGCTCAGGTACTTGCTGTCCATTTCTCCCTTTCTCCCTCCACCCTTTTCCCTGTTCTCCCTCATTAAGGCCTATTGTGCCCCCAGCTGTAGGGTCAGATGTCAGGCAAAGGCCCTGGCTCCCAGGGTCTGACGCGGGGCTTCACACAAGAAACACTAGCTCAAGGATGTCTCCTCACCTGGCAACAGAAACCCTGGCTAGGAACCACCAGATCTGTCCAGATATTACTTGCATTCTGTCTCTACTTTTCCAGTGGGAACAGTCTGGATTAGTGGGGTTGGTAGGTAAAGCCAAGGTCTCCGGGACTTCTTGTCCCCTGTAATTTGCCTCAGTTCCTAGGCAGGGTTTTCTCTGCAAGACAGGGAAGGGACAGTGTACCACCGGTGGGGATTAGGATCAAAACAGGGGCCCAGTCAAACCTTGTGCTCCCACCTCTTCCTGCCTTACCCTTAAACCACAACGTCTTTCTTCCTTCTGACCAAGCACTGGGCTCCTCAGTGCTATAAGATCCTTCAAGGGGACAGACACTTCTTCCATCCCCAGGTGCCTGTGCCCTCATGCACGGACCATATTATTACCTATTGTAAAACACCAAATTCGCTTGGCAGAAACATATGTGTAAACATTTGCTGTCGGGTACAGTTCCATCTTCAGGACCCATGTGTCTTTGCGATGAACAATCGGAATGGAAGACTCACCCTCCTGGTTTGTAGCGTTGGACAGGTGGAGTGGTTTTTCATTTTTGTTGTTGCTGTGACGGTTGTTTGTGTGTTTTAAAAACACATTTTAAAAAGAGACAGGCCGCAGAAAAAATGCACAGCTGGCTACATCTTTGGGTTACTGGACTCCAGGGCACCGAGGCCGAACCTCTCAAAGCGGGGTACAACTTTGCTGCTGTTAATGCTGTGAAGAGGAACAAAATGTGGGGTTATGGGTCTGTTGATCTTGATCAGAGTCGAAGGGACCTGGCCCAAACCAAGAAGTGACAATGATTGCTCAGTCCACAGCCTCGGCAGATCTACTCTTGGCAGCGTCCTCGGCCTTGGCCACACTCCCCACTCCTGGGGGACAGTGACATGGCTCATTCACCTCTGACTCCCAGGACCTAGGGTGTACTGCTAGCTGCTGTGGGCTCGTGGGAACCGTTCCCATACTGGCAGCCTTGGAACGTCCTTGCTCTGTGCGGTACTAGGGGGAAGAAAAACCTGAGCCCCAACACCCACCAGGAGTAACGGTGTATGCTCCTTTTAGAAATGGTGCTCAGCTGGTGCACACCTGTAATTCCAGAGGCTCAAGATGCTGAGGCAGGAGGATCACAAATCTGAGGCCAGGGTGAGCAATTCAGTGAAACTCTGTCTCAAAGCAAAAAATTAAAATGGCTGGGGATGTAGTTCAGTAGTAGCGTGCCCCTGGGTTCAATCCCCAGTACCTCAAAAAAAAAAAAAAAAAAGTGCTCAAGCATTGGCTCCATCAGGAGGTTCTCTGGGATGGGCTGAGGTGTGACTTCCAAGCCAGATTCCAGAGATCTGGGGTCAGTAAATTTGGAGGGAGGGCACTCAGAAGCAGTGACCTGTCAGCTCACAAATGCTGAATACTGACCTGACAGTCTACAAAGCCAGGGCGGGTGCAAAGGGAGTAACATGGCAGGGGCAGGCTTGGGGCAGCAGCTGAGTTTCCATTACTGAAGCTTGGGAATAGGAACCTCTTTGAATGAGGTCGAATGTTCTGTGCCACTGAGGACACAGCCCTTCTCAGCTGGTGTCTTTCACGGCAACAGGACCTTCTGTGTCTACTACCCACATCTACAGAGAAGACAGACACAGGAACCCAGAGAGGGCTCCTGGGACCATGGAGCTGGCCTTGAGGCAGCTCGGCAACCATTCCACTCCTTGCAGGACAAAGTCCCCATGGGTTAGAGGTGTTAGAAGCCAAGCACCCCGCCCCCGTTCTCAGAACATGGTCAGCAGGAAGCTTATTAAGGTGTTAGCAGCAGACTGGGCCAGCCCATCCCTCAGAAGAGCCAGAAAGAAGAGTCACATCCAGGGAGGTGCTGGAAGCTGTGCAGCATTGCAGGGGGGCCTGGCTAGTGCGATCCTCCACCATCAGAAGTTACTGGGGCACACGCAGGCCATGTGGAGAGGGCAAGAGGCTGGTTTAAAAAACCAGACCACAGGAAGTCTGGAGAGAGAAGAGTGAAGCAGCAGAGACGGCATCCCCCGGGTTAGTGCCCACTTGGCACTTTGCATTTTAGTAGAAGTCAGAGCCAAGTTGTCAGCTGGGAGGCAGAAAGTTCCTGGTGCATGCAGAGCAGCCAGGCTACAACCTACAAGGGACAGAGAAGAGGCAAGAGCAGCATCAGAAGCCAAGCCAATAGGGGACCCAGGCCCCAGAGGCCTGGCCAGAGCTGCCAGACAGGGGAAACACTCAATTTCACCCTCCTACCCCCCAGGGTGGCACCCAGGCAAGCCTGGGAGGAGTCGGCCTGCAAGGAGCCTTCTTCAAGGTCCTGCAGGGCACAGCCACAGGCTGCTTCCATAGAGGCTGGCTGACGACCCACAGCTCCTCAGCTCCTTACTGTCAATACTGACTTCTTGGAGTTGATCATCTCAGCTCACTCGATTCTCTTCTTTTGAGCTCTGGCCAGAGAGGGGACCCTGGGCACACGACAAACCATCTGTGCACTCATGGTGTGGACAGAGGCCCCCCCACATGCCATGGGTCTCTCCCACCCACTGAGAGAAACACAAGCCCACATGGCCCTTGCTGGCGTCACTTTGGCTGCAGGACATCACTCTGGATTACAGGGATAAAGCCAGATGGTTATGAGAAGTTGGGATGCAGAGACAGAACAGGAGGTGGGTATGTAACAGGACAGCTACACACAAGCAGGGCAGAAGGTAAATGAGAGAAACACACTATTCCTCCAGAACCGGACAGGAGTTCTTAAAGTCAGGGTGACCATAACGTCCTTTCCCGTAATAGCGGCTCCGCCAGCGACTGCAAGTGCCCCAGGACCGTTCCAACAGGAGCAGGAAGAGCGTTGTTCAGCCATCAGCCAGTGGGTGACGCCAGCCAGGCAGTGGACAGGTACAGGAGTCAGGAAGGTGGGATGGGGGGAGATGACAGGGCAGGCCAGCATGTCCGCCACCCACCCCCAAATAAAAAAGCAACAAAGTCAATGGGAAAGAAAAGAGAAAATGAGAATTTAGAGGCTGAGGGTATAGAAAGTAGAAATTATCAACAGAAAGCCTGGACACAGATTCATTCAGATCTGCTGCATCTTCCCTCTACATGGCTGGAACTGATGGCTTTGAGCTGGTAACAGCTCCCATTTGGACGAGATGGAGTGTGTTCAGGATAATATGGTTACAATAATAGCTCCCCCTGTAGGCTCAGTTTCCTGTCTGTGGCACGAGAAGGTGGGGCTGTTTGGTTTTCCACAGAAAGAGACTGTTCCTTGCATGCCAGTGCCGACCTAGTGCAGCCTTCTCTTGGAAGGCCAGGGCAGCTGAGGCCCAGAATGTACAGAGTGACCCCAGGTCTGCAGGAGGAGCTCAGAACTCGGCCTTGCTGCTCCACAGCCCCCTCTTGGCACTGCTCAGGGAACCCCGTGCTCCATCCCTGCCTGCTTGGATGGTCCCTCTTCCAGCCCCACACTGATGACCATCTTCTAGAGACCTTTCCTTCAATCCCCTGGTGGGCAAACAGGCCCTCACTGGGGTTGCCCCAGGGCTCTACCTCCCTCCCCGCACCCAGCATACCAGGATCATTCACTCATTTATTCAGGTACCTGTCAAATATTTGTTCGCCACCCACTCTGTTCCTGGATCTGTGCTAGGAGTTGAGTTAGAGGTGACAAGGTAGAGTTGTGCTGGATGGAGGTTGCATTGCAGCGTGTCTGCTTGACTTTATCCTGATTAGACTGCACACTCCATGCTGGGGGAGGTCTGTCTATCCTCGGGCATGTGCATGCCCACGTGTGCAGCAGAAACGCAGCAATGGCTGACTGAAACTCAACCATTCACCCCACTCTGAACAGGCTAAGCACCTCTAATGTGGAAACAAATGCTCCAAAGGCTGGAAATCTTCTGAGTTCCAACATGGGTTAGGGATGCTCAAACTGTAAAGCCCACGCAAACATTCCAATATTTGAGAAAAACTGGTCTTTTTGGTCCCAAGCGTTTCAGATAAGGGATACTCAATCTATATGAGATATTCCCACCCATCCTAAGAGCAAAAGTTGGACCTAATATAAACAATAAGACAGCATTCCCTAACCCCAGGTGGCTGCCCCTCCAGACCATCCCTGAGCAGCAGAATAAACCACATTTTCTCAGTGACTTCTACTTGGATCCAGTTTGGACGACTCATGCTAGGCCTCTCCTCACCTGCAGAGTGGGGCTCAGTTTGGTTCTTCCTTAAGAAAGGGCCTGGCACACTATGGGCAAGCCAAATATGGCCACCAGCTATGAAGGGTTTTAACAACTTCCAAGGGTCTTTAGAAAAAAAGTGACAGACTGTGTCCCCTGCAATCCTGAAGTATTTACTACCTGACCCCTTTGAGAAGAAAGATCGCACCACCACACAGTTCCGGAACCAGGTGTGAGCTCTAGGTGTGAAGCTTCAGCAGAGACTTGGAGATGTGACATGTACACAGGGACTAGTATGCCAAGGGCTCCTTGGCAGTGGGTAGAAGATAGGCCCTTGCCCTCCACTCCCATCAAGGGGAGCTCCTCTCTCTCTGTCTTTGCTATTGGGGCCTGGTGGGAGATTTCACTTTTAGAAAGCATCCTTTGCCTTGAAAAAGTCTAAAGCTGCTGGGCGTGGTGGTACATGTCTATAATCTCAGCACTCAAGAAGCTAAAGCAGGAGGATCTTGAATTCAAGGCCAGCCTGAGCTACATAGCAACTTCAAGGCCAGCTTGGAACATAGTGAGACTCTGTCTCAAAAAAAAAAGCCAAACAAAAAACCAGTCTAAAGCTATTCATGCCGTTAAGGAGGCCAACCTGGGGCCAACCATAGCCTGCCACTGGTTTCTGCACAATCTACAAACTGACAATGATTTTTACCTGTCTAAATGGCTGGGTGGGGGAGAAAAAAAATTTAAAAAACTATTCATTGATATGTGAGCTATTGAATTCAGGTTTCTGTTGTCAAGTGCTGCTGGCACACAGCTAGCTCGCTGGGTTCTGTATTTTCTGTGCAGACCCCTGCTCAGGTGGCAAGGCCAAGCTGGAGCACCAGGATCCATGCTGTGCACACCACCAACACTAGGGCCCGCGTTAGAACTTGATTTCTCCCTTAGTCTGCAAAGCCTAATTATCTGGTCCTTTTCTGCTGAAGTTTGTGCATGATGGATCTTATTTAACTCTACTTTTTAAAGGTGTGGGAAGTAAGGCCCTAATAAGGCCCCAGATCCTCATAAAAGGTCATGGCAGCACAAAGATCTTTTTGACTATTCTGGACTAGGTGGCCAGAAGGACAAAGAGGAAAGAGAACAAGACAGTGCAGGAGAGATGACAATGGCTTCTGCTGGCCCGTGGAGACCCCCTCTCCCACGCCATGGCGCAAAGGATCCTGTGATGACACAGAGGAGAGGGCTTCTGGCATCGAAGCCAGAATAAAGAGAAGTGATGCAGTCCCATAACCGGTGGCTAGCTTCTTGTGCTCAGTGTCTGAGACAGTGCCATTTTAAACAATATTGGCTCTGCTTATTACAGGCGTTTCTCAGTATCCATATGGATCTGACCTCCACCCCCGCATCATGCCTCTCCCAAGGCAAAACCTTCTGGCCCTGGCCTCGCCTAGGTCTGGCATCAGCACTGGTCTGATAATAGTGACATGCAGACTTTCATAGATGTCGACCAAAGGTGCTCATCTGTTTCCAAAATAAGCCCAGTAAGTGAAATCCTGGCTTCTCTCTGGCTAATCTGCCCTATGAGCTCCCCAGATCAGAGTCTGGGGCAGGCGCAGTAGAGGGTGCCCTCTAAGTTCCCAGGTGAGGCAGCTCACTGAGGAGGTACTCACTCAGCTGACTTCCAGAAGTGCCCAGGGTGCGAGAGCCTCCGGTTCAGCTTGGGCAGCTTCTCCAGCATGTCCATCAGCATGCTGAAGCTGGGTCTCTCCTGCAGATCGAAAGCCCAGCAGGCAGACAGGATCTCCTGCAAATGCAACTGCCATTAGCGGTGTGTGTGCTAGCTGGGAGGGAGGAGGGCATGGCTGGGGCACCCAGAAAGCATCCCTGCAGTGCTCTCAAATGCCCTGGCTGGTGGCCCCCCTGAAGACCTTGCCAACAACATGAAAGAGCTTCTGTGCTGTCAGTTCAAAATGAAATGCATGAGCTTGCCTGCTTTCTCTCCTGAATAACAGCAACCAAGGTGAACAGACTAATCATGGGAAAGAGATCAGGAACGGCAGTGGTTGGCTTGTGGAAGATAGAAGTTGGAAGGCACAGTGTGCACAAGGAACTCAGAATACATGTAAGGTAGGGCTGCAATGGTGGTGAGAGCCTTGGTGTGACCAGAATGGAGGATGGGGTGATAAGGAGGGACAGATGGGAGTCGGCAGAACAGCTGTCCCAATGTCCACCCTCAGTGGGTAGGGCCTAAGTCTCACACAACCACTGAGACTCAGCAATGGAAGTTTTTGTTCCTAAATACAACAGGACCCATGGTGTTGCCTGCTAAATCAGGGAAACTAGAGAGATCAAAGATCAAAACCCTCTCTCTGGAGGATGTGTTTGTGTACACTGGCATTTGTGTCTGGATGTGCATGCGTTCAAGAAGCTGCTCTATCGAACAAGACCAGGGTGCCCTAAAAACAAAGTGACTAAAGAAAGAAAAGTATGTAAAATTGAAAATAGAATTTCTGAACCAAACACAAGGAGTGGGAGGATAAAATAATCAAGGAAATTCCCCAGATTGTTGACCCATTTAGATAGGGATGGAAAATATAAAAGAAGACAAAAGACTCACTGAGAACCACCAAATTCTGTCAAATGGGAGTTCCACCAAGACAAAACAAGAAATAGTGCAAGAAAGTATTGAAGAGAAAAAAAAATTTCCCCCAGAAACTTCCAAAAGAAATGGCTAAAAAGATTCAATGGTGAGACCTCACTGAAAAAAGAAACACCTGGGCTGGGGATTTAGCTCAGTGGTTCCACTGCCTGCCTTGCAAGCGCCAAGGTCCCAAGTTCTATCCCTGGTACCAAAAAACAAACAAACAAACAAAAAACCAGCCTACACGCAGATATATTTTTATGAGATTTCACTATAGCAAGGACAAAGAAAACATCCTAAATGCTTCCAGCAAAAATAAGGCAAGATGCCTACAAAAGGTTGAGAATTAGACCATCACCAGATTTCTTACCAGTGTATTTGAGAATTAGTAGACAACAGAGAAAAACCTTGGTGTTCTGCAGGGAAAGTAATTCTGAACCTACAATTCTACTCCTGTTGTAACACAAAATAAGAGACTTTTTAGATGTACAAACATTCAAAGATCATCTCTCATGTATCCACTGAGGGGCAGTTTCTGGAGTTTTACTCTTATTTTGCAAGAGTGAAAATAAAGAGAGGGAAAGATATGCAATACGAGAACAGTGCAATTGACCCAGGAATGAATAAAAAGTAAACAGAAGGATAATAGCTGTGCCACAGGCCTAAAATCCCACTAACTCAGATGATCAAATGATCCTGAAAAGTATGGAACAGATTGCATTCAATAAGCAGAAGGCAGAGGGTGCTAGAAGACCTCAAGAATACAGTAAAGGTGTTTGTTTCTCCTCTCAAGGAAACAAACACATGGCACATGCCTGTAATGCCAGCTACTTGGGTGGCTTCTGTCAAAGAATTACTTGGACCCAGGAGCAATCTGGGAAACATAGTGAGATCCCATCTCAAAAAAGGGCCAGGGAGGGAGATTAGGAACTACAGGAAAAATCTAGAACTGCATAAGAAAGCCACGGCCCAAATGTGAAGGCAACCAAACTGTGAACCTCTGAGTAACTGAGAAAATGGAAGAGGCAGACTCACAAAGAAGAGAATGTAATCCCAGAATGTAATTCCAGGGGTTAATGGCAGGTATTGCCTCTCATAATGCCATTTTATAGTTTATAATCATCTCACCTTCAGCCTCAGTCTCTAGGCACAGCATGGAGAGATTAAATCATGGAAACAGAAAGCCAACATTAACCACAACCAAGTAAAGGGAAAGCTGGCCAGAATTCTGCAGCAGAAGGAACAGAATGATGGAGTGAAAAGCTGATGGAACAAGAAGTTGGTGCCTTTGGACAGCGACCTGGAGGGACCGCAGCTTTTCACTAAGAATCTTTCTTCTGCTATCTTCCCGTGCACAAGTATTCTCAGAGATGGCGAACTCACTGCTGTCTCCTTGTGTAAGGCAGTGCCTGGGGTGAACCCCACAGCAGTGTGGCTGGAGGGACAAAGAAAGGTGCCACTCAGGGGGCAAACCCTACTTTCGGCTTAGAGTCAGAATAATTTTTCATTGCCTTTGGCCAATGCCCACCACACAGCAATTTTAAGAAGGAGGGGTGGAGAAAAAGAAAAGACAAAACCCTACAAGAGACACAAGAAGCTGACTGCTCACACATTTTCTGTCTCCACTTCCTCAATCCCTGGCCCCGATTTATTCTTATAAGACTTCCACACTCTTAAAAAATCCTTCCAATTAGTTCAGGCATCTTTGGAGGGCTTATTTATTTTTTAAAGTTAATTTTATTGGTACATTTTAGGTATACAATATAACGACATTCATCATTGGACTGGAGATTTGTACCTTTACATAATATATCTTGGTTCTTATTTTTCCCCATTCCTCTGCCGGAGGGCTTATTTAAAATGATGCTATATTTAATCTACTTTGCTCCACAGTGGGACCTGTCACCAGGTTGAGGTACAAAATATTCTTAAGGTTTGCTCCTCCAAGAATGACACCAAAAGACTCATATGCAGCTTCAATCCTGCACTGAGAGAAATCTTCCCAATTAGTCCTGGACTCTGGTTATGTTCCAAAATTATCTGAGGAGCTTTATTTAAAAATAACACCTAAGAAAAAAAATATAGCCTGTCTGATCTCAGATCAATTAAATTGATGTTCCTGGGGGAGTTAACCCAGTTTTCATTAATTATTTAGATGTACTAGGAATGGAACCTATGGATGTTCTCCATCCCCAGCCAGTCCTCTTTTACTTTTTGAGACAGGGTCTCACTTCGTTGCTCACGCTGGATATGACCTTGTGACTCTCCTGCCTCAGCCTTCGGAGTAGTTATGATTACAGCTGTGCACCACCGCACCTGGCAACACTGGTACTTTCGGGATGATTCTGACAGGTAGCCCAGCACCAAGCCCTGACTCCCTGCAGCTCTCTGACCAGTGCTGCTCTGCCCCAGGGCTCCCTCTCCCTGAGGACAGCATGAACGCCTGCTCCAAGATGCTAGGTGTGTAGAACTGGGGCTGTTGCCAGGAAAACTGACTTTTAAAAGCATATATATACATACTCTATTTTATACAAAGATGTTTATACAAAGAAGTCCTTAATAATGTTACTGTAAAGGTAAAACTTGGAAATGAACTAAAAATCCAGTGGCACAAGGAATGACATTATGATGCAGCCACAGGACAGAAGGGCAAACAAAGATTTGTTAGAAACTTGAGATAATAAAGTGCCATGTAGAAAAAAGTTACGACACAAAAATAACCTACATGTTATGATTGTGATTTTCTTCAGGATACATATTACGGCCTGTAATACCATCCCCTCTGGAGGCTGAAGCAGGAGGAGCACCACAAGTTTGAGGCCAGTCTTGGGTTACACAGTGAGTTAAAGGCCAGCATGGACTACATAATGAGACACTGTCTCACATCAAACAAACAAACAAACAAACAAACAAACAAACGGAAGGTAGTCAGGCATGGTGGCACAGGCCTATAATCCCAGCACTCTGATCTGATAGGTTGAAACAGGAGAACTGCAAGTTTGAGCACAGCCTAGGCAACCTGGCAAGACCATCTCAAAATAAAGTTTTAAAAAGGGGAATGGGGATGTAGCTCAGAAAGAAGGCTCTGGGTTCAATTCACACTACTGAGGGGAAAAAGACTGGAAGGCAATAGCTGGTTGGCCCAGCATTTCTCTCCTAAGGTACCAAGAACACATCCTGGGGCAGATGGTGCCCGGCTGCGGCTGGCTGACAGTCGGGACCCAGAGCATCAGGGATGCGCTCATCACTCCACCCACCCAGCATCCCAGCTGCAGCTGTATCAACTGGCCAGAAAGTCTGGGGTCAGGACTGTAGACTAGCCTTTTGGCATCACCCTTGGAAAATATTTTGCACTTCAACCTAATGACATATACTACTGTGGAATATAGTAGATGGAATACATTGTCAGGTTAAACGAGCCCTCTCAAGATGTCGTAGCTGCCTGCTACTCGTCGATAAAGATCTCTGAGGAAGATGAGGTTGGATCCATCACTGTGTCCTGTCCGGTTTATGGTGATCCCGCCAGCATGGGTCATGACTTTGACAAGAAACTCATAGCCTATTTAGACTTAAAGGTGGAAAGGGCCAGGCACTCCCTCCGGAAGCTCTTCACTGTGAAGCTGCGTAGTACCTATGGCAGTTACTCAGCACAGGATGTTCTGTGCAGTCCCATCTAACACATGGATACTCGGTTATCACCGATTACACTGAAAATGCTGAGTTCAGGGTTTCTTGGCATGAGACTGTGCCATGACATGGAAATTACCCATGCAGAGAAACCATGAAAGGAAAACCATCCAGAAACGAGAATGCAGTGGCTGCAATTAAGATTCAGCATTTTGAAACAAGTTCGTTGTGGGAATTTTGATTTGTTTTGGAATAGTCATGAAATACATGGAGAAAAGACCTGAGACCACAGCATAATCTCACTATTTGTATTTTGATTAGTGATTGTTTTTATCTTCGTTCATGTCAGTAGTATATATGGCTTTATTCTGTCATCTCATAAGTCAATTAAAATTATCTTAGAAAAGGAAATCAAGATAGAAGTTGACAATGGAGTGATACTGATGCTTTTTGTTTTCTTCTCTCTGCTTCCCCTCATTTTCAGTAAACACATGTTGATTTTAATTTCAAATGTGACACCACCTGGTGACAGAGCTCGGGCAGGTAGATGAAGGGCAGCCATGCCATAGGCCCAGCCTCCCTACCCCCCAGTCCTGCCTCCCCCCAAGAGCAGGTGCTACTCACGCTGACTTCCTTCCCCAGGCTGACAGAGCCCAGGACCCGCTTCATTCCTTCCCCACTTCCGATCTGCCAGATCAAGGCCTCTGCAGGCTGGTGCTTAAAGGGCCAGTCTCTTGCTTGTAGCTCATACCACACAGTCCTGTGGAGACCCACAGCATGAGCTCCTGGGATGCTTGGCCCAGTCCATGCCCAGAAGCTACAGATTGGAGTCTGCCCCACCCTTCCTCCTCTCCAGCCTTCAGGGGGTGTTATGATGGCACCTGAGAGACCCCTCCTGGGCCTCTAGGGACCTGGGCCCTGTGCACCTGCTCCCACCATGGTGTGAAGTCCAAGACAGCACAGGCCTGGACAAAACACTGGGCTTGCTACAGCTCAAGCTTGACCCCGGTTCTGCCACTTCCTAGCTGCAAGCAAGGTCCTGGTACAAATGCTCAACCTCCGTAGACTGATGTCTGTCATGAAGTTGCTGGAGGAGTAACAAAAATCCCAAGCCCAGTGCAAGGCACACATCATGCTTTGGCAATGACACAGTTAAAGGTCAAGGGGAAGAGATGGCACTCAGGCCACAGGAGAGAGAGCCCAGGGTAACTGGAAGTGAGCCTTCCTCAGCTGCTCCAAATCCTCTTAGCTTTCTCAATTTCCTAGGACAGGGACACTCTAATTAGACTTGCACTATCCAGTGTAAGGACCACTTTCTACATGAGGTTACTAAGCCACTAAAATGTGGACAGCCAAATACAGCATGCTGCACATATAAAATAAACACTAGACTGTTTGAAGACTTAGTAATAAGGAAATGAACATAAACTATCTCTAATTTTTTGCATACTGAAATAATACTTTAGATGTGCTAAGTTAAAATGGACTGTTGAGGGCCGGGAATTTAGCTAAGTGGTGCCATCACCTGCCTCGAAAGGGCAAGGTCCTGAGTTGGATCCCGGGTACCAAAAAAAAAAAAAAAAAAATTGACTGTTGAAACTATTTCACTTGCTTATTTTTTTTTAACATAGTGATGGTCATACCTGCAAGGATATATCTGGTTTGCATTGTATTTCTCCTGGTCAGCACCCCAGCCCTGCATGGGCACTAGAGGCTGGTTGGCAGGCAGGATGCCCAGGCGTCCCAGGGCAAGAGGGACAATCGTTGGTTGGCTCTGGCAAGTGTCCCAGCAGATCAGTGGGTAAGACTGACAATCAGCACTTAAACCATGACCTAATTTAGTCCTCCTGAAACAACTGTCTTGGAGGCACTATTATCTTAAAGCTGGGAGACAGGAGGCCAAGGATGTGGTCACTCAGCCAACAAGCAGTAGAGCTATGACTCAAAACCAGGTTTTCTCTAAGCAGCTTGGCAGACACCTCCTCTGCCTCCTGTGGCCACCAGGGCCCTCTCTTTGGGCCACACTTGGGCACCAGCACCAGAAGCCTACTCACCCAAATGCATAGACATCTGCAGCTTTGGAGAAGGGCAGCTGGTCCTCATCCTTCCCAGGGGTCATCTCACACACAATCTCAGGGGCCAGGTAGCACAGCCAGTCATGGGACAGCTTCAGCTGGTTCTCACGCCTAGGGGCCAGGTAGAGCACAGCCCCTCAGTAGGCCTCCCTGGCACCCATCTTCCCTCAGGGCAGGAAACCACCCACACAGTGCGGATAAAGCACCTGAGTGCACACACTAATCGTACCCTGGCTCAGGCACGGGTGCTTCTAGGGGCTGTCACAGAAGACATCCCTGTGGTCTTCCAGGGAAGCAGGCCAAGGACAGGTACTGGCCGGCTGCAGTGCCTGACTTTGCTGGGCCTGGGCTCAGCTCTGTCTAGGAAACCAGTCCTGTCTTCGATCTCATATCAACCTGGGGACTCCCTACCTGACTGCCACTCTTCCTCTGGGGGGGTCCCCAGATACTCAGGGAGGAGCCTTTCTCCTCACCCCTTTAAGGATGGAGGAAATTAAAGCTAGAAGCTTTTCCTCATCATGGCAATGGGACCTGGACCCTCACCCATGTAGGTGAACAGCCACATCAAAAGTGAGCTGGGGATCCAGCCTCCATGGGGCTCAACGTGAGAATTAAATGCCACAAATATCACCCAGGCCCAATTCTGGACCAGAACCATAAGGGCCAGCCTGAAGCTGCCTGGCCCTCCCTGGAGGGAGGTCTGCTTCTCAGCAGCACAGCCAGAGTACCCAGACCAGAGCAAGCCTACCCAGCACCCCAGCTCCTCGTGTCCCACCCAGACACCCAAGGCCAACTCACCGTTCCTCTCGGACCACACCCGAGATCCCAAACAGCCCAAAGTCTGTGATGACCACTTTGCCATTGTCGTAAAAGACATTCTTGGATTTGAGATCTTTGTGCACGATGCCCTTGGCATGCAGGTAGCCCATGCCCTGGAAAACATCGAGGCTTACATCAGGGGGGAAAGATGATGAGGGGTGATGCTGAGCTTCTACCCTGCGACAGGCTCTGCGCTGGAAGCTTCCCCACGTCTCATTTAATCCTCACAATCCCATGCGTGCATATTGTCCCCATTTGACAGATGAGGAAATCGAGGCTCAGAAAGGCAAAGTTTCTTCCCCCAAGGTGCACAGCAGTTAACTAGCAGAGCTCGGATCTGACTCCAAGCCGGTCCATGCTCTTTCCACACCACCAGGTGGCAAAATAGTATCTTAGACTTGGATAGGTGTGAGGTGTAGGCACGTGATTGCTGGGAAGGCAGAGAGGTTGAAGAACGAAGAAAGTGATACTGGCTAGGGGTGTAGCTCAGTGTAGAGTGCTTGCCTATCATGCACAAGCTCCCAAGTTCCATTCCCAGCACCGCAAAGGAGAAAAAGTCAACAATACCACCTGGCTCAGGTCATAAGGGCCCAGATGAGTTGGGGTGTTCGTCAGGATTTGCACAGCTGGTCTCTGCTCTCAGGTAACACAAAGGTCAGATGGGGAAACAGAGAGACATTCCCACAAAGGGGTCTCCAAATTTGGCCATTGCCAATGTCCATGCTGTGGTAGAAGGAGCCCTGGATTCAGACTGAAATCTGAGGTTCAAGTTCCACCTCAACTCAGATCCTAACTCACTATGAGGCCTCAGACAATGTTCACTTCTCTACAGCTTGGCCTCCTCATCTGTCCGTAAAAGGGCAGTGGGGGGTGATTTCCAATGACTGAGCTTTGGAACAAACACTGATGGGCCAGGTCCAAGAACACAGATGATTTGAGACAATATAATCTCATCCAAGGTCAAAGCTGTCTTCAAACACCACATCCACAGCTCCTGTGTACTCTGACCCCCTTGGGGACAGGGGCAAGATGCCATGGCTGAATGCCATCCCCAGCAGCTCAGAAAGAAGCAGCAATGAAACCACCTTCCATACCACAGGCATATCACACCCGCTACAGAGACGTGCCTAGCTAAAAGGTGTCGTGCGGAGCGGGTGGAAAGGGGACAACTAGTGAAAAACACGTCACATTTAGGAAACAGAGTCAGCCACGAGCCAAAAACAGACAGAACTCAGCCCCTGCAAGAGCTCTGTTCCTGTGGGTCAAGAACACTGGAGAACCCTTTAAACAAAGCAGATTCTTCTCTGAAAGGGATGAGAAGGTGTGAGGCTACTGAGGCCACTCCCTTTGGGCCTGCAGAGAGTTGTCTCCTTGTGACGGGGTCAGGGAGCTCCAAGAACACTTTTTCCCGAGACTGTCTCAAATGTAAGACGGTCCTTCTGAAAATGTCTGCCCATTTTCCAAACCAAACCAAGGCAAGAGCCTTCCCGGGTAGCCAGACAGAGCCACAGACTCTCTGTGGGCTGAGTAGGAAGAAACTAGGAACCAGACTCTAGAGGGAACTGAACAAGTCACTGTACCGCTCTGAGCCTTATCTGTAATCACAGCCTGAAAGGGCAAGCATAAAGGGACAGGATGTAAAGGGCTGGGTCTGCACACTGATGTTCCTTTTCCCGAATTCCACAGATATCTCTAAACTGGTCCAAAAGTTGTAAATCCTCTAAACAAAGACCCAGCTCCTTTTATTTCTTTTGGCCAAAGCATCATAGATAACTCCATAAAGGAAGTGGCTCAGAGGCCCCAGCAAAAGGAGAGAGGAGGGTTTCTCAGCAGGATGGAAAGAAGCCAGCAAAGAAGCAGCTTCCAGCTCTGCAGCTCTCAAACCTTTTAGTGACTTATCTGCTGGGCCTGGAATCATCCTGAAGGCTCATCATCATGACTCAGTGGTCAGCACTCAGACATACACTCCCCCGGAGCAGAGACAGAGAGGAGCTTGAGGGAGAGGAGCAGACTTAGCAAGGCTAGGGTGGGGGAATGGAGACCAAACACTGCAGCTCCCACCTCTACCAACGAAAGAAGATGGACCACAGTGAAGGCAGGAATGGCATCTTTGGGCTTCAGTTTTCCGAAGTTTAATACATTAGCTTAGTAACACAGAAATGGCATGTGGAAATCTTGATTTATACACAAATGTAATTGTGATTTTCTCTTTTCTAAAGACAGACATACACACTTCAGAAGAAGAAGAAAGGAAAGGAAGGAGAGAGTAGAAAGGAAAGAAAGGAAAGGAGGGAGGGAGGGAGAGGAAGAGAAGAAAGGCAGATGGGGAAAAAGCTTAGTGGAGCTGGTAAGAGACAACTTCTCAACATAATTTTTTTTAAAAAGCAGGAAAAGAACATCTATTCACCTTTATTTGTTTTTATTTGAGTCTTTTTATTGCTAAATAAAGCAACAAATGAGCTCTTCTTTCACTTTTATTTAATTACTTTTTTAAGATAATGAAAGAAATGAAGGGGGATTTTCATTTGGGTGCCAGGGCCTGCCCTCGGGAAAGAGGCCTTGCAAACTTCAAGACAGGAAGCCCGGGTCCTTCTGATTCCGGGAAGTTAAATACCACTCTCCCTTTCCAATGTGCATGCTAACAGAGCTCACTGAGTGTCCGGGTCTGAGCTAAATGCCATCCATGGATGACTGCACTTTATCTTTGCACTGATCCAGTGAGGGAGAGGGTGTTGGCAGCCCCATTTTACAAGGGAGAAAACCAAGGCTCAGAGAAGCTAAGGAACCTGCCCAAGGCCATACAGCTGGAGTGACCAGGAGTCAAACTGTCTTCAGAATCAGCTGAGTTCCTCCTCAACTAATTCAATTCTACCAATGCTGACCAAGTGAATAGCTCCAGCTCTGAGGGGACAAGAGAGGGACATCGGGAAGAAGATGGGTCCCACCTTGAGGAGCCCCAGCTAGGAGAGGCAGAGCAGGTAGCCACACCATGCCCTGACGTATGGATGCAGCAGTAGGAAGATGAGAGCTGTGGAAGCAGGAGCTGGACACCCACCCTCCAGCTGCTGGCTGCCCTTTACCTTGATGATCTCCTGAGCGATCTGCCTCGTCTTGTTGATGTCCAGCGACGTCTTGGGGTCCCTCACAAATGAGTGCAACGTCCGTCCCTTGCAGAAGCTGTTGAGGGTGGTGGGCTCAGTCAGGTTGGAGACTGGCAGAGCCATGGGGCCATGTGCCTATCCACTCCCAGAAGTCCCCCCACAAAGCATGCCTGTCCTTAACCAAACCTGCCTCCCATTCTTGCTGGGGCCTGGCCTGTAAGGGCCCCGCCTAAGGCTCAGGCCCACCCGTCCTACATAAGGAAACCCAGTTCAACCAGGCTCCCTGCAACTCTGGGTGCCCCAGCTGCTGGGGGGGGGGGGGCGCGTCAAGGCAGGACCAGGAGCAGTGAAACTCAGACAGGCAAGAACCTGGCCTTTAAAGCTATTGCCAGATAACATCAAGGCTCTGGTGCAATAATAGAGTCTCGTTATTGCTTTTATTGTTTTTAGGTCCTAAAACTTTTTTTTTTTTTTTTAAATAAAGCCATGCGTAAAGAAGGACCAGGCACTGAGGTAGCAGTCAGGGGATCACAGTGATTATGGGAAAGGGAGCTTGCGTTCTGGGGCCTACTTTTATATTAACTCCTAAAACCCAGGCTGATGAATGACCCAGGCAGGGTGTGTGTGGTCCCCTTTCCTGTTTGAGCGTGAGCTGGCTTATGCCATCGTAAGGATGGACTAGTTCTTAAGAAAAATCTTCTGGAAGTAAGATTTGTGGCATCTCAGAGACTTTGAGAACCAAGAGGCAAGGGCTTTGGGACACTGGCTGATGGTCTCCTGATCTGCGTCCCATTTTCCTCAGCATATTTCTAAGACATTGTTTTCTTGTTAGTGAATGTTCTGCTGTTTCACTATGTGCATACCCACTCTGACTCCCATCTCTGAAGAAACAGCGTGCACGGACGAGAGGAGGAAGGATGGGTGGATGGAGGACAGCAGCAGGGGCTGTGAACCAGGGGTTGGGGGCTGGTGTGGCCAGTCAGGCTCCCTGGGCATCAGCTTGTCTTGCTTTGCCCTGCAATTTTATTCCCCTGGTAAGGAGACTCTGGTTATCTCCTACTGCTCAGGAGTTCTGGGGGTGGTTACTTACATCACAGATAAACAAGCAAATTGGAAATTAATTTCTACTTCCTTCATTGCTTTGAAAAGAAAAAACATTTTCTTCAAGTATAGGATCCAGGTATAGAGAAGACCATCACTATGCTAATGAGGGTTCTCTTGGTTCGATGGGATTAAAGTGATTTTTAGATTCTTCTTGAAGTTTCTATGTGTTTCAGAGTTTCTCTAATGACCTTCTACTTCGCTTCCCAACTTTAAAAGTAAACAGTGATATCATAAATGCCATGGGCAAAACTGTTCCAGGGTCACAGCTCTGAGAAAGAGACATGTGGGATGAGAGTGGAACACAGAGGACTTTCCAGAGTAGAAATGGGCTGCAGACACCAGAACACCACAGGCTGCAGGCGTGGCTCAGTGGTAGAGCCCTCACCTCATATCTGCAGGGACCTAGCTTTGATTCTCAGCACCACCAAAAAAAAGAAGAGGACCCCAGCTCTACAGTCAAGTGAGAAAAGCAAGGTGTGAACCAGCAGGGTCTTTCCCATGTTTTTATAAAGGAATAGTTTAAAAATTGCTGAGCACATGCAAAGTCTTTATTTTAATGCAGGGAATGAAGATCTTTACCATATCCACCTCTGGGGACAAGTGCCCAGTTGGGGTGGCAACAGACTTGGATTTTGTTTTGTGCCTTTTATGGAACCAAGAATCCTTAGAGGGGTATCATTTTATTTCTTTTTAATGTCAGTGGGGTTATGTAAGCAGGAAGTTACACCCCATTTTTGTTTTCCTCTTTGTACCTCTGTGAAAACTCACACACCCTCCAGCGCTCCCCAGGAGAGTGACCTAGCCAGGGCTGCTCACCTGGTGATGATGGCCAGATGGGGAGGGTTCATACAGGCGCCCATGAAGAGCACCACATTCTCGTGCCGTGTCTGCCGGTAGTTCATCACCTCCTTCTTGAACAGCTTCAGGTGGTCCTGGTTGTGGCCGTCCATCTCGAGCAGGCGAATGGCCACCTCGCCATGCCAGCGGCCACGGTGCACCCGGCCCCAGCGGCCCTGCCCAATGAGCTCACCCAGTTCCACCTGCTCAAAGGGGATGTCCCACTCCTGCAGGTACACGCTGGTCTGGCTGGTCTTGCGGGAGATGGGGCCCCGCCAGGGTCGGCGGGAGCTCGGCAAGTCGTCCACCTCATCCTCGTCATCTTCTGCCTCGGACTTGCCAGCCTCTGGCTCCTCAGCCTGGAAGGAGAGCAGGAATGAATAGAGAGCGGTGGCAGCAGGTCAGCATGCCCTGTTTCCTTTTCAGAGCTCCAGCCAGGTATGGGGAGAGAGGCCTGGATCTGAGAGCTGATTCTAGACACAGCTCTGCACTGGCTTGCTATGGACAGTGGGCAGGTCACTCAGCATCACCAGGCCTCAGTGTCTTCATCCATAAAATACAGTCACTAGCCCAGGTCATCCCACAGTCCTCCATCCTGCTAATGCTCCAAGATCTACCCAGGAGCAACATCTAATAGTTTAGGGAACAGCACTGATATCCCAGCCATGGAGGAACTTAACTGCACTCACCCTTCTGGTACTCCCTTGTTTAAGCAGTTTCTGACTCTCCTCTGGACAGGAGTAACATCCTGTCAGCTACTCTGCAAGGCAGGAATCCAGGCTCAGTTTATACTTTTGTTCAAAAGTCTAGACAGTGGTTCTTGACCCTGGCTTTGATCAGAATCACCTGGTGAGTTCTGACAACACAGAGGAATCTGACGGCATCCTAGACTGATGTTAGTCTGAGCCAGACTGAGGACTGAGAACTGCTAGCTTACTTCAGGTGGCCTCAGAAACAAAGCAAAGGAGGCAGCATTGCTGCTTTCTCCCCACCATGCACTCGTGCCACACTGTGCAGCAGGCACTGGGAAGACCCTTGCTGGGCCCGGGCCTCCCTCCCTCCCCAGACACCCCACATTCTGGTGGGGGCAGAAGACACCAACAGCTGTCTGTGGGTTCGGCTGTGGCATCCCTCACTCACCTCCACCTCGTGAGCCTCCAACACCTCAGCTTTTGGCTGGTCGTCAAGCCTAAGGGTAAAATAGGCTTTGTCAGGAGGCCCTGGGCTGGCCAGCGGCTCCCTGGGGCCAGGTCTGAGGCAAAAGGCTACCCAGCCTGGACCTAGACAGCAACCCATCTGTCTGTGGGCTGGGTGGATGCTGTGGAGACAGGCGGCAACTGGGGACCAGGCCCACCCCTTCTTGGCCCTCAACCTTCTCCCCAGGCTGAACTGACGGTGGCTGGGCACAAGGGGTGGGCAGTAAACAAGGCCCCTTTCAAACTTGACATTGTAGTCCAGGAGTTCAGAGTACACACACAGGCCTCAGGATCTCAGAACTGACCTGCTGCTTCCTCACTCTGTGACCTTCCTTATATAAAACTCGACCTCTATAGGCTGGTTGTACATTAGGGATCGGCTACGGGCTACACAAGGAAGCTTGAGTCAAGGGCTCAGCCCATCTTGCCTTGGAGGAAGGGCTCCTAAGTGGGACCCATTTTTAATAAGTCTAACTACGAATTTGCGTTGTTCACTCTCCTGGGTCACCAGCCTGTTCCAGTTTGCATGCAGCCCACACACTGCTCACTGCACTGATGCAAATAAACCCTTTCAGGAGGAGGTGGGATATCGGCACAGACAGCAATCAGTCCCAGCCAGCCTCCATCTGGCTGGGGCAGGCCTGGCAATGCTCACAGCAGGAAGGTCAGAGATTTAAAGAGTATGGCTGGTAGGCAGCTGGGGATCTGAGTTCAATCTGAATAGGTCCCCAGGCAGAGAAGGGGCCCTCGGACAGGGACTCTTACCGGGTATTGTCGGCGCCATCAGGGAGCGGGGCTGCCTGTGGAAAGGCTGAAATGTCTGCAGGAAACAAAGCACAAACCCAAAGTGTGAGGCCACTTTTCCCAGCCCCAAGACCCCACACCTGCCTAACAGGAGGAAGTCGCTCCTCTCTGAGCTGCCGCCCCATTCTCCAGGCCACTCCCACAGGGGCCAACTTGTGCTGAACCTTCAAAGCTGACATGGACTCAGCCTCCACAGTTCTTCTGTTCATATTGCTCTGTCCCAGGAAGGGACTTAGGTGGGTGAGCGGGGCTCCTCAGTTAACACCGCTTCTGGGTGGCCAAAGGGTCAGTAAAAGCCAGCCGGGCTACACTGGAGGGGACGTGAGCCAGACCCATCCTGCGGAGGGTCTTCCTGGTTGGTGGCAGGGCTGGCTGCCACAACTCTGCAAAGTAGGGACACGTGACAGCAGAACTTGCAGGTTCCTTAACGACACCTGGTGCAGCTGCTGGAAATTTCCAGAGCACCCCCCCCCACCTTGCTTCTGAGATTGGGTTGGTCTAGGCTGGGCAGCTGAGATTGACCCGGGGCCGGGGGCCTTAGCACTGTGAACCCCCTGCCTGCCTAGTGACACCTGAATGGATGGTCATCCCAGTGCTACAAGGGCTGAGTGTTACAAGACTGGAGGCCCCAAGGGTGGGCTGAACTCCTCACTCTTTAAATAGAGAGATAAGAAATGGCAGCAGCTTGAGCAATAGCAGCCCCTCTCCTGCCTTGAACGAAGACCTTCCCCACTCAGCCATAAAACCTCCCTTGCCCTTTCTCCAAAGCTGCCTCTGAAGGTCATCAGAGCAAGTCAGTATGCCTACCCCTTCACAGACTTGGACAATCTGCTAGAATCTTATCATGGCAGTGCACTCATGTGCCTGACATCCTGTGCAGTTTTGGGGGCCCTGAACCTCATAAGCCTCTGTTGAGGCCTTCCCAGACACCGCCATGTGGTGTCCAGAATGCCTGGCATTTCCACCCACCCAGCACTTCCAAAATGTTTCCACAGAAGACAAACACTCTGGGGGTCAGGGAATTGGAGACAGAGGAAGAACAGCACTCCAGGTAGGAGAGCAAAATCCTTTGGAGGCCCCATACTTTTCCTAAAAATTAAGAGCATTTTGTGATCCTGCTCTAACATGAGTCTGTGTCCCTTTCCCTCCCACGAGATATCTTCAGGACAAAATGGACCTTCCAGGGAACCATGTCTTCCCAGTCTGGGGGAAGGGCATGCCCTGTACAAGTCCCACAGCTGGTAAGCAAGGAGGTTCTGGGGTAGCCACGGCAAAAACTGTCGTGAAGCACGACAGCAGCCTGGCGGTCCACCAGGGAAGGGCCCATGGGGCAGAGCCGGGGTCCTGACTGCGGCCATTTGGCACAGGCCTGAATACAGCCTCATGGAAAGACTCACAAAGGCTCCAGGTCAGTCCCCTAACAGGTGGAGCTGAGGAAGAGAGAAGTCTGGAATAACCAAAACATTGACTTCAAGATAATCTTGTTTAACCCAGAGGGGAAAGAAACAATTAAGTAGTTTTAGTCTAAAAAATCATGCTTGCCACCTTTGGCTAGAAGGAAAAAATGTATAAACTCTTTCAAAGGGCAGGAATATGGTCAAATGAAAAGGTTGGCACAAAGATTGGTCAAATGGAAACAATTTTTGTAGAAGGGAATCAATGGATTATCTTGCTGAACTGAAATTTTTCCCTTAAGCTTTCTACAGCAGGTGGCGCTGTGCAATAAGGCTCAGGCAAAGACCACAGACAATCTGTTAGGAGAGTTTCCCTGTCCTTACCCAGGGAAGGAGGATGTGGTGACAGATGCTCATGAGATATCAGCAAAAAGTCCTCTCCCCTCTTTCTGCAAACCTGGGTTCTAGTCCTGCTTGTTTCTGCCACCTCCTGGCAGTGGGGCCTTGAACAAGTTGCTGGTGCAGGATGGATTCTAGGGTCCCTCCCAGCAAGGCCATGCCACTAAGGGGCCCACCTCCAGGACACGTGCCCTGCTCCCTTGCCCAGCCACCAGGGACTCAAGCACTGAGTAAGAGGGCACCCAGGTGGGCTGGATGGAGGGGTCACAGCAAGGGGCAGTTAGTGGGACCATGCAAAGGACTCACCTGGGAAGATAAACTGCTGTCTATGATGAATGAAGTAGGCAGCTTTAAACAGAAGAGGATGTGGATCACACACAGTGGCAAATGCAGCGAGGGAGAGGATGCGTGGGCTGGGGAGGCAGGACCTGGTTACTGGGTTGGGGCGGCCCTACCCCATGTGCCTGGCCCCTGATGGACCCAGCAAGAACGGACTGAGCCATGCAGGAAGGAGGGAGAGAGCTGGAGCACATGGGTGCTGGTGGGAGCCCCAAGAGTAAAGGGGGCTGCACTGGAGGACCAGCTGGGTGCTGGGACCTGTCTCAGCAGCCACCTTGCTGGCAAGCTCTGGCCAGCACCCTGCTCTGGAAAATGCACAGGAGCCCCGAGAACAAAATACAATGGGGGAGGAAAACAGTGGTTCTGAAAAAGTCTGTGCTGTGTGTAGAAGAATGGCCTCCTCTCTTTTTTTTTTTTTTTTTTTGTATCAGGGATCAAACTCAGGACCTTGTGCTCACAAGGCAGGCGGCAGCACCACTGAGCTAAATCCCTGGCCTGGCCTCCTCTTCTTCAGCCCACCTTGATCCTGGAGCACCTCAACCAGCCCACCCCCACCTACCCTTTCCTAAATACACAAAATCTCTCCTAAGAGATGCACTAGAGTTCTAGACTCTAACACAGAATGATTTATTTTGTTTTGTGTTTTTGAGGCCAGTCTTGCTATGTTGCCCAGGCTGGCCTTGAACTCCTGGGCTCCAGTGATCCTCTTGCCTCAGCCTTTTGAGGAGCTGACAGCACTGTGTCTGATGTGACACAACTTTCTAACCAGTTTCACCACTGGCTGGGCTCTGGGACTCGGGGACATTGGCTAACTTCTCCAGGTGCCACACTGCAGGACAGAAAGTCCCACCTTTCCCAGGTGTATTTTGATGCTCACGGGCATGGCTCCTGAACAGCACAGAGCAGCTGAACACCAGGGTGAGGTCTCAGTGCTTTGCTCCCCAGCCCTTCCCTGCCTGGCCAGGCCTGGGTTGGCCTCGATATTCTGATAACATCATGAAGAGTGAGATCTCTGACAGGGGACAAGGAGGGCCCAGTTCCCTCATGAGATATCAGTGAAAGTGGACACAGTTTGGCTGATGTCACAAAAAGACTTTTTCTGTGGCTGTCTCAAACAAGCCCTTTCTTTTAGAAAAACCCAAACTAAGTGGGTTAGCAAAAGGGACAATAAGAACAGAGTAGAAGGGGTGAGAAGGTGAATCAAATGGGCCATCACTGAGTCACAGGGAAGGGTGGGGCATGTTTGGGATAAGGCGTTCAGGTCAGGAGATAGCCAGCCACGAGCATATTAAGGCAAAGGAGCAAGCAAAAGAGAAATGGTTCTACAAAAATCTCAATCTCTTATCACCCCCCAAAAGAAATCACAGGGACCCTGAGAGGCATCTTGGCCTGCAGCTGGCTGTGTGTTCCCAAGCAAGCAGCCAAGCACAGGAGAGACCTCTGTCCCTCAAGCCTGGAGCTGCAGTGGTCAGTGACAGGGCCTGACCTGTCCCCATAGGTGAGAGAGGACAGAAGGCTTGGGTCCCAGCCACCCCTCCTTCCTCTGGGACTGCAAACTGAAGTGCATGGAGGCCTGGGACCAAGAGCAAGGCAGCATGGGGCTCAGCATCCTCTGCACAACGATGCCCGGACCGCAGCTTCACACAGTCTCCTTGTTTTACAGAAAGGAAGGGAGAGGTCCCCTCTGAGAGGCTGTCCCAGTCACAAAGTGGGCAGGCAGCAATGCTCTCTTCTAGGCCTGGCGCCCTATGCTGCCAGCCACATCAGCTGGAGCTCAGCAGCCGGCCCTGACAGAGTGACAGTGCTCAGCAGAAGCCGCCCCCCACACAGGAGAATATAAGGCCAGGCACCCAGGCTGGGCAGCAGACGGACTTGTGTTTGATCCTGGCCCTGGCACGTGCAGCCTGTATAACTCAGGGCAAGCCACTCCCTCTCCCTGAGCCTCAGTGTCCCCATCCACACGGTAGGTACAGCAACAGCCTCGACCTCAGAGCTATGATGGGAGTGCGTGACCCCGAACCTGCAGTATCTGCTGAGAAGGGGGGTCTGGCTGTATCTCCGAGAACCCACAAAGGCCCAGAGGGGTGGTACCTGGGAAACTGAACCTGCTGTCCCGCTGACCAGGTGAGGGGTTTGGGGGTGTGGTGGCACTGGACGGGTGGGATGATGCTGGGAAGGGCGCTGGCGAAGAGGGCGTGGAGGATGTGGTGGAGGACGGGTTGCTGCTGGAGTCCAGGTGGTTCATGACCGGAGGGTGCTCCTGCAAGACCAGAGATGCCAAGAGTGTGCAGGGCTGGACTGGCCTGCCAGCTGCCTCCACATGTGGGCCCTCTCCTCCCGTGTGGAAAGAGGAGCTCAGTCCATGGGCCCTTAGGGTCCTGTTCCCCAGCTCTGACATCTTTTGGGTCTAACATTTGAGGAAAGAGGCATATAAAGACCGTTCCCTAGAGGATTCTCAACTATCTTTCTTATTTTCACTAACACACTTCCTGCACCCTGGTTAGGACCACGCTTCTCCTCATTATCCTCCCATATCTCCCAACAGATCTCCAATGGGGCGTCACAACTACAGCCTGTCAACTGTAGAAGCAGAGAGACAGTGGTGAGCAAGGCATATATACGGTCCTTGTCTTTGCAAATGTCCCCAAAGTACTGGGGACTTGAAAGAGGCAACAACTTGGGCTGGTGTTGTCTGGCATCCTGGAGAATCACAGATTCCAGAGATGGGACGAAGCTTCTAGAAGATGACCAAGGAGCTGGTTTGTTAGGATAGGCCTGGTTCACACCTATTATCCCAACTTAAATGTCAATGCCATTTCCTTTACAACCAAAAGCAAGCCTGATCCCCAAGGTGACTCTGGCAGACCTGGGAACCAGGACCCACAGTGGCTTGGGCTCTAACAAGGCCAAACGGCCAGTGAAGAGGGGACTCTCGGTGGCTTCTGTGTTGGGCAGGGCTCTGGATCTGGCTGGTGTCTCATAGACCCTGGGGCTAGGAGAGGAATTCCTTGATCAAAATACTTAAGGCCACACACTGGGTTAAATGCCAAGCTCAAAGGTTTCTCTTCTGCAGGCCTGGAAGGCTTCGGGAGATGCACAGTATACTCTGGGACCCACCAAAACGGGGGTAGGGGGTCTCACTGGGGTGACACAGCTGACCCTGCATGGTGCCAGCTAACGAAGGGAGGCTGGGTCCACTGAGAACCCTCTCTCCCCATTCATGCTCCAAGGCTCGAGGCCCTCCCCCAGTCACATCAGCGGGGCCAGGCCTGTGCCAAGGAGGCAGCGACCCGCCATGGGGGAAAGGTGAGCCACAGCTCCTCCTCTTGGCACCTGTGTGGCCTCAGACAAATGACCCAGCCTTCCTGAGCCATAGCATGTCATCTATGATACAGGGGCGGCACCACTGCAGCACTTCACCATTCATTCATTCAACCCTCAATGTAAACGACTCCTGCTTCTAGTGTGTGCCAAGGGCCAATGCAGGCATCAGAGATGCGGGGGGGGGGGGGGGGGGGGAACCCCCGGCCCTTTCGGGGGCCTTTGGCCAAAGGGGGGGGGGGGGGGGCGGCAGCATCACCAGGCCTTCTCAGGGCACTTGTGCCAAAGCCAGTGGAGGGCAGAGGGGAGAGGTGGCTGGGGAAGAGGTCCAGGGGTATGGGATGGATCCGGCATCAATGGATCCTTAGGAACTGACAGGAGGGCTGAGCTGCTGTCCAGGAGGACGGGGACAGAGGAGCAAGGTGTCACGGTGTGCAGGGATACAAGGATGTGCAGGTGCACAAGGACTCTATGAGCATGGGGCGGGGGCTGGGTGTAGCTGGAGAGGAGAGGGCAAGGCTGGTGACAATGGTGTTGGCAATGGGAGGTGCTGAGAAATCTCACCTGTCTGTGTCATAGGCTGAGAAATCGCAGGGGACAGAAAGCTCTGAACACTCCCTCGTTACCCTCACACACCCTGTTAGCATTATTATCCCCACTTTACAAACTGTGAAGCTGAGGCTCAGGGAGGTCACGCAGCTCACTCAAGGTCACAGAAGTAAGAAAGGGGAACAGGAGAGACTCAAACCCAGGGCTGTGGTGGATCTGCCAGGACCTGAATGTCTATATCCCCTAAAGCCTCCCTTTCAGAATCCTAAGCCTTAAGGTGACAGCAATAGAAGGTAGGCCTTTGCGGTGATTAAGTCATGAGAGTGGCCTCCTGTGAGTGGGATCAGTTCCTTTATAAAAAAGGCCAGTAGGGGGCTGCTGGACCCCTCCAGCCAGTAGAGACACACCAAGAAGGCCCTCCATGTGAGGAGTGGGGTTTCAGGGGACCCTGGGGCTCAGTTTCCCTGTCTGTAAAATGAAGATGATATCAGCATGTCCTTTGGAAATACTGTGAGGGTCAAATGAGACATGGTGAGAAAAACTCCTGGCACAGTAAGGGCTCAAGAAATGTTCCTCAGAGGAGGATAAAGGGCATGGGAACCACAGCTACGGAACCACAGTTCAGACATAAATGTGAAGCCTACTAAATGGCTAAGACCACCCTGAAGGCACCCCCAGCCATAGAGCCCAGACTGTGGTGTCCTGTCCTACTCCCCTACTAAGCCTCCGTGTTGAGGGGTGCATTACAGGAGGGAATTCCAGAGCTGGGGGTGGTGAGAACCTTGGGGTAGCTGGCTGCATACCTTCTTTGTCAGTGCTTTGGGGAGGGTTCCGAAATGGGGTTCAGCGGCTCTGTCCACCGGGTTGTTGATGTCTGAGGGGACAGATTCTGTCCTCCGCAGCCTAGTTACTGTGTGAAAAGGGGAACCTGTTAGCAGGGAGCAGATCACACTGAGGAGGATTCACCCCGATTCCTGGAGGCAGAGGGGAGGAGGGGCAGGTACTCACTGGGAAGGAAGGAGATTCTACAGGCAGGGGCTTCCTTCGTACACTTGTTGTGACATTTCAACCTGGTTAAGGAGACAGAGTCAGTGAAGTGAGTGCTTGGAGAGTCATGCGAGCACTGAAGGGGAGCTCTGCTTAGCACTCACCCGTGACTCCCAGTCCCCACAAACCTCTCACCAACATGAGTGCTAAAGTGTGGCAGGGCCACAGTCCACTGAGCAGGTGTCACTTATGCTGTTGTCTACCCGTCTTCCAAGCACAGCGGGCTGCACTCTGCCCACTTTACCTTACTGAACACACACACACATCTATTTTTGTTTCACCCTCCAAAAAAAAGAGACCTTCCACTGCTTTCAGAAAGCTCCAGACAGATCTAAACTTACAAGAAAAAAAAAGAAGTAGGAAGGGGCAGAGGAGGAGAATTAGGAGAATGTTTGCATTATCAAAGGATCTCAGGGATCCCACAGGTAGCCACTGCATTCACCAGGTGACCGTGTGGCCTGAGGGGCAGCCTAGGGCCCAGAGTGGCAAGGGCTGGGTTCTCCTCTGGGTCCTGCCTGCTGCACCACGTCTTGTTGTTGGCATCGACAAAATGGGCTGACAGCTGGGGCGCTCCCAACCTCCCGCTGCAGCTGTAGGGCAGTGTGGCGCTCAGGACATCCTGCACTCGCCGCCCCACGATGGGAGCTGGAGGCCCCCAATTCATCCCAAAGCCGAATGGCCAGGAGCCACAGGAAACCTGGAGTGGAGAGAAAACTCTGGGACCTCCTTGGAGGTCAGGAGTCATCAGGAAAGGATCCACCCAGCTGACACCCCCAGGACGCACCCCTGACAGAAGACTGAACTGGGGCCCGAAGTCTGAGTCAAGCACAGGAACTCAGAATCTCGGAGGAATCTCAATGACATCATCTTCCCAGATGTATAAATGGAAAAAAAGGAGTCCAGAAAGGGCAAGCACAGTGCCCCAAGTCACACAGCAATGCAGGGGCAGTGTGGGCCAGGAACTAAGACTGCAGGGCAACCAAACAGCAAATGACAGACTGCTCTCTTCCCCACCCTCCACTGTCCCCCATCCTTGTTCTTCTTCACCCAAGAAACCACAATGCTATGAGAAAAGAAAGCTAGATGTGTACAGAATCTATATTTTCTTCTCATTTTGCTAATTTAAAAGCCAACTCTGTTTTTTACCATGCTTGTCCCCATTTCCCACCCCTTGTGTTCTAAAATGTAAGGCTACAATTTTCACAATGGTCCTCAATTTCCTCTCTGCCTTTGGATTCTTTCTCCTTTGGTCTACCTGGTAAACCTCTATTCGTCCTTTCAATGCCTAACTCAAATATTCCTTTCCTCCAGTAGTGCCTCACTTCATCTCCCCTAGAGAGGCCCTATCACCCTGGTATGCTGAATGGGACTATGAATAGTTGGTTTACAGGAACTCCTTTGAACTGACTTAACCCAAGGCCAAGAATAAAGTAGTAAGATTGTTCCTAAACTCAAAGTATTTGCCCCCTCCCACCCTTGCCCATCACCTGCAGTGCTTGCACTTCACTCCAAACATCATGCTCTTCTGGCACACATGGCAGACCTGCGACAGCCAGGACTTGGTAGAGAACCTGTGGGGGATGGACACACATGGGACCAGGGCCTGGCCACAGAAGGGTTTCCAGGGGCATGCGGAGGCCTGACTCCATCCCAGAGTCCTGAGGGCCCTCTCCGGGGACTCCTGCTTCTTCCCAGGTATTCAGATCACTCAACCACAAAGTTTTTGTGGTTACAAATTTGGAAAGAGCAATCAAAATCACCAGTGCGCATGCCCTCAGACAGTGATTCTCACCCTCGGAATTGACCCAACAGATACTGCCCTGAGTGTCAAATGTATGAACGAGGCGCTGCTCTACACAAATCCTGCAACTTTAAAAAGTATAAAAGTATACATATTATATGCAATTTGTGCAAAAAAAAAAAGAAAGCAAAAACCAAATATATGTATTTGGGAATATAAAATATTTCTCAAAGGATACAGGAGACTGCTGAGACCTAACTGGAAATTCGGGAGCCCAGGGAAGGAGTGAGGGGGAACTTTGATCTCTTTTCACCCTCTTCAGTTTTGAACATATGAATGTATTTTCAGTCCAAAATCTAAACAATTAAAAAACAAAAGATAGACTGCAAGAAGGATGGTGTTTGAGTGGGTCGTGTCCTCCAGGAAAGAGGGCCAGTCCACAGGGCAGGAAGGCCTAAGAGCAGACATTTTATTTTTAGAGAATAGATATTTTTTAAAGCATAGCACATCACAGTAACAACAAAAGGAATGTGAAAGTACTTGTGGAGGAGTTTGTGATCTATCCACAAGCACTGGCTCCCCTGTCATTACAACCATTCCAAGGAGTTAGGCAGGTTCCGGATTCTCGGACAGTATACAGGCCAGGAAACTGGCTCAGAGAGGGCAGGCGACAGGCCTAAGCCAGCTGTTTGCAGGTGCCCTGGACCCTCCTCCCAAGGCTCCAGTGTGCAGGGTCCCAGCCCTGACAGAGTTCCAAGCACAGGTCCCTGCTCGCCTACCCCGGGCTCAACTGTCTCACAGGTACTGTAACCTCGGATGTGTTACTGAACCCTTGGGAGTCGGGGGTCCCCGCTAGGGCAAGAACTCCAGGCCAGCCTCAGCACAGGCTGGAGAAGAGCAGGCCCTGGCAAGTCAGAATACCTTTGACCGAGCTCCCTACTGTGCTTTCAACAGCTTTTAACAGGGACAGCAAGAGCACAGGTGTCCCAAAGCACTGTCCTGCTGGCCGTCCACCCGATCCTTGTCACCACACATGGCCTCCCAAGCATTTGAGCAGAGGCCTGAGTGGTCCCTGCTGGGGATCCCTACAAGCCCCTCTCTACAGCATTGGTGAGGAAGAGACTCCAGGAGGGGCCAGTAAGTCTCTGTGGTGGCTGGCAACAAGGCCAGGGCTCAAAGGCACACGGCTGTGTCACCCGAAGGAAAGGAAGGAAGGCAGGCAGGCAGGAGGCACAGAGCCCTGAGATACAGCTCTCAGAATAACTGCCCAGCTCAGCAGGGGCTCCCAGCACCCTGCCCCACCCAGACCTACCTGTGTGTCACCGAGAGCCCAATGTCCCTTCGTACCATCTGTGGGGATCCACGAGAGAGATCTGTGAGGAGAGAGGCCAGATTAGGCAAGCTGAAGGAAGCTCTGTCTGGGACAGCTTGTGCCTGGGATCTTCTGGCTCAGAGGTCATAGGCCAGACAGGATGTGATGGTCACACAGCAGAGAAATTAACTAAGATCTACCAAAACAGGGGCAGCCAGCTAGACCAGGGGAGTGATGTGGTCATCCACACGCTAGGCTTGCTCTCTACCCATCATCATTGCCGGGCCTCTTCCAGTGCTCAGTTGGCCATCCCTGTAGATTTTACCCTGGTCAGGTAAGCCTCGAGGTGTCCAAAATAAAAGCAAAAAAAAAAAAGAACCTGGTGCAGTGGCACATGCCTGTAATCCAGCACTCAGAAGGCTGAAGCAAGAAGATCACCACAAGTGAATTCAAGGCCAGCTTGGAAAACATACCAAGATCCTGCCTCAAAAAACCAAAACAGAAAAAGAAAAAAATAGACACCCCCCCCCCACCAGGCAATGCAAAGGTGAGATAAGTTTGCCCACACTCATTTCTCACCTTCTCGGGGACACACCAGTCTTTAATGGCTTGATTCTGCTACTACTTGTTAAGTGACAGAAGCTGGAGCTCAGGCACAGGGCACAAGGCTAGTTGGCCATGAAGTTCAATCCCTACCCTTCCAGCCTGAACCCAGGAGACTCTTGTCTGACAGCCAGCGTTGCTAGCTCTTGGCAGGAAGAGTGAAGGAAGAGGACAAGTGAAGCCCTCATATGGCCAGGCCCACTGGGCTCTGCAGGCAGAGCCTCTGGGGACGTCTTGGGCACCGTCCCTCTCTGCTGAGCAAAGGCACTAGCCTTGGACATGCCCTCTGCCTGCCTCACTGGAGTGAATCTGGGGCTTTCTTTAAGATCAGGCAGCCCCAGTGTTGAAAGCAGGAGAGGCCGGGGCAGTGGGTGAGTGCCAGATATGATCTCTCCCCACCCACAGCCCCCACACAACCAACTCAAACCCTCTGCCCCACCCTTGCTCCTTCCAAGCCCTCAGATAGGCTTCTGGGGTCCAAGAGCCCTCTAGACTGGTCAGCAGGATGTCAAGGGTTTCTTGCTGGAAACAAGGTCTACACTTTCATCCAATTATTAAAGGGATCTGTGACCCAGGAAGTTCAGGAACACGGTGCTTGAGTGATCTGTGGTCATTTTGTGTCCCCTGATCGTGCCTCCCAACAGTGGCCACTCCTCCATCCTTGAATGCTGGCCTGTACATAGCTGGTGCTCATCAAGTGCTGCTTCACCTAAGGCCAAGTACCACCTATCGGATCCACAAGAGAAGGGTGGAAGTACTGATCCCCAGCCTCTGTACTATGGAGATTCTGATGGGGACAAAGGGCCTTTTGCCACCCTCCTGATGATTGGGGTCCCCATAGTTCTACCGCCTGAAGCTCTCAGGCACATCTGCCATGGAGCTGACCCTCCCAACTTCCTCCTAGGGGCACTCCATCCCAGTCAGCAGTCAAGGCCATCTAAATACAGCTCTAAGAGGGGCTGGCTTCCAAAAGAGACACTGGGAATGTGAGAATTCAACCACCCGGCTCTGAACCCAACCTGACTTATACCACCGACCACAGGTTCAGGGCAGGGAGTGAGGTGGCCCATGTGGCAGGCATGCTGGCTGTCTGACCTGCATACAAACACTGGCCCTGAAGGCCTAGTAGCCTCACAGTAGTGCCAGTGCCATGTTATAAGGCCAGAGGTCTCCTAGGGAGAGAGGAACTGGCTCTGCTAAGGGCCCTGGGGTTTCCGCATATCCCCTGGGGAGAGGGAAGCACAAGGGTTCTCCTTCCCATGCTACATGTCCCTGGGGTCTCTACAGCAGCTTCCTTCAGCAGGTCACTGCCTGGTAAACCTCTCTTCTTCCCAAGACCTCACCCTCAGTGACACCAGTCTCCTTAGCCAGCTATGAATGGTAGGAAAATATGCTGCTACAGTGGATCCTTGACTTATGAACTCAATTCGTTCGTCATGAGGGCTGGTTATAACTCAAATTGGTCAACTTAAGGCTCAGGCTCCTCTACATAGCCTTCAAAGTCTCTTTCCTGTGCATAGGTAGATGTCATTGTCCTTAGAGAGACATTGGCCCAGGATTTCTCAATTAACCCCACACAAGAAAGGATGTTGTACTGTTCTTTCCAGAACTCTTTAAGGGTTAAATCTGTATCTGAGACCATCTGGAAGCAAGCAGCCAGCATTCAGGTCATATCTCTAGACTTTGTTCATAAGTTAAAACTAAAAATCTGGTCATAACCCAAGTTGTTTGTCTATCAGGCCAGTTGTGACTCGAGGGTTGACTGTATTTTACTAAGGCAAAGAAAAACTCTGGGCATTCCTGCATTTCCACTCAATTAAAGCAGTTTCCAGGGGCTTGGCTGTGTCCAAGACAGGACCAACAGTACGGCACATGTGGGATCTAGCTCCCAACCAGGTGCAGTGATCCATCCCTGTCATCCCAGCTACTCTGGAGGCTAAGGCAGGAAGATCACAAGTTCAAGGCCAGCATGGGCAACTTAGCGAGACCCTGTCTCAAAATAAAATATATAAAGGTTTGTGGATGTAGCTGTTGGTAGAGAGCTTGATTATCATGTGGGAGGCCTTGGGTTCATTCAATCTTCAGTACTTCCCAGCACAAAGAGACCCTGTTCCCAAAATGGAGATGGAGGAGTAAAAAAATGGGGGTCCAAGGTTGCCTGGGCTTCCTCCTCCTCTCCCAGGGGGGCAGCTATACCCTGCAATTCAGAGCTCCCCCTAGTAATGTCTTGTGAGAACTGGTGAGAAGGGTCCAGAGGACTCTGAGGACAACTCGAGACCCCTAACCCAGGCAGGGGCACCTCCCTCCCAGCAGCACTGCTTTACCTGGCACCCCAGAGGTCACTGTAGGGACAGTAAAGTGGAGACAGGGCTCATCACAGGGCTACCATGGACTATGACACTTTCCAGGTCTCTACTTCCCACTGCTGGGCTGGGTCCAGCTGTATTTTAAGGCCACCTGTGTCAGAGCTACTTCCTGAAGTGGTCACCAGTGCCTCTGCTTCTGGACTATGGAAAGGCCAACCAGGCTAAGAGGGTCAAAGAATCCACCCCTGATGGGGGCAGCAACACAAACAGGACTCCCAGTGGCAGAAGGGATGAAAATGAATCACTCTTACCAAATCTGAAAGAGACAAAAAGGAGAGAGAGAGATTATGTCACCACACTGGATCAGCAAGTTCCTAGAACTTTACCCGTTAGGAAGGAGCAGGCAAGGGGCCGGTGCCAGGGACAGAGGCGTGGTTTGGGGCCAGGCTGGCCAAGTGACCATGGGAAGCCCTGTGATCTCTGTGGGGACATTTCCTCAACAGGAAGGCCCAGACGGGCCCTGCCAGGGGACACTGAAACAACACCCTGGGCTGTGCACTCTAAGACATTAGCTGATTTAAGCCTCACCAGCCACCCAGCATAGTTGAGTTCGCCACAGTTCACAGCTGAGGAAACCGAGGTTCTTGGGGTTATTCTAGGCCATGTGACCCACAGGTGTAGGCAGAAGTGGTCAGTGTGCTAGAGGCTGTGGCTGGAGCCAGAGGGCAGAGAAGACAGCTACAAAGAGCACCCTGAGAAGGGTTGGGCAGGAGAACGCCCTGAGCAACACCTCCTCCAGGGCTGGCGTTGCTCCCAGGGACACAGGAGCTGGGAGGGAGAAGGGCACTCTGCCTGCCCTCAGGGCTTACCATGGTGGCCTGTGCATCCATGTCAGTGCTGGTTTTGGTGGCACAGGTTGGGGGGAGAGGGTTTAGACTCAGAATCTCAGGGTCCACGGCTGGTGGTGTCCCTGGCCTGAGGCTGTTCTTTGCCCAGAGCCTGGGAACAAGAGCAGAGCTTCCTAATGCTCTCCTCAGGAGAAGATGAGAGACCAGGCATCAGCCGCAGTCCTCTGTGAGGCCCCCTCGAGGGACCCACATTCACACAGTAGGATCACTGTGTCCCTTAGCCACAAGTGGGTGGGGCAGCCTGATCAGGAGGCAGCCAGGGCACACCGGGTTCCTGTGCCTCAGCCAGACACTCTAAGCCTGCAGAGCTCTCCAGGGTCCTCCACAGCAGACCCAAGACGAGGGGGTGGGGAGTGTTTGTCCTCCAGCAAACGTGACTCCAAGCCCAAGAATGACAGGGCCCAGGAACCCTCTAGAAAAGGGCTGCCCACGTCAGGGAGAGAAGCCAGTTGTACCCCAACCTTCAAAGGTACACGAAGGTAAGAGGCACCCAGAGAAAACAGCCTTCTTTCCTTCCATCCTACCCATACAACCGGATCAACAGGGGCAATCTTTATAACAGCAATAAAGACAATGATCTAAGTGCCCACCAAAAGGGAGAAGTTAGATAAACTATGTAATGGAACAAGTCTGTACAAACAACGGTGTTTGAATTATTAAAGATTTATACAAAATGGAAATCCTAGTTGGCTCCTGAAAGGGGAACCAGGTGGCAGGGAAAATGGTGAGGGGCACAGGTCTTACCATGTACCCCTATGGACAGACATGAGCCACAATGCTGACACAGTCTGGACCATGTGACTGTCACCTATTCAAAATGTATAAATAGAAAACATTTTTAAATTAAAAAAAAAACGAGGGCTGGGGATTTAGCTCCGTGGTTCTGCCGCCTGCCTTGTAAGCGCAAAGACCCAAGTTCGATCCCCGGTACCAAAAAATAAAATATATAAAAAAAAAATGAGTAAGACACTGCAAGATGTACTGATATTATGTACTCAGATCTATCAAGATACTGTGAAAAAACAAGTAACACGACTGAGTCCATGGCATTTGATAGTCATTAGTGTTTTGAGCCAAATATTCCAGTTTCGCCTTCTGGCCATATTGGAGAATTGCATCATTTGTTCCCTTGTTTGGGCAGAGCCATGAACAGTGAGGAGAGCTTCTAAAAAGGGTATGGTTGTTCAATATCCTGGGAGGATTGGTTCCAGGACTCCCCTCCTCCACCATGGATATCAAAACCTGCAGACACTCAAGTCCCCTATTAAAAATGGCACAACATTTGCATACAACCTGCATATATCCTCCTGTATACTTTAAGTCATCTCCAGATTTCTTATTATTAGATAATAATCAGATTACTAATGTATTAGAAAATAATCACAAGAAAAAAGTCTGTGTATGTTCAGCATAGACACAAGCACTATAGGCTTAACTTCACACTACACATCAGCAACAAGGTAACTTTCTTTTTCCAAACATTTTCAATACCTCACTGAGTGACTCCTTGGCTCTGCAACCGATGGATATAGAGACTCAACTGCACTTGATTGCCAGTGCTCGACATCTAGAATTCACTTTTCGCTCTGCCACAGTGGCCAAGGATGTTCCACATAGCGGCTGTTCTAACCCATCTGTGACGGGGAGGAGGTTGACCCACAAGGGACAGGCAGCACAAATGAGCACAAATCTTTGTATCCTGGAGATTTGGGAGCTATCTGTTACTTCGACCTATGTGATGGAGATATGGCATCATTTTCTTTGTGCATATGAATCTACTGGGCTTCAGCCCTAACTGCTAAAGTCGTGTGCGGATTAGACTGAAAGATGGGGGCACCTTTTGCTTTTCATTTCACACACGTCTACACCGGCTGACACTATCTGTCCCTCTTATGTACCTTTATGAGGAGGAAGCCACAGTCTACACTCACCTCATCGAGGAGACCTCGTCGATGCGGTTTCCCAGTTGCGACTCATGCGACTTGCTCCGGGTAAGCGTGGGGAAGCTGGGCAGCAGCTGGAAGACCTTGCGGCTGGGCGGTGGGGGTGTCCTTGGTGGCTTTAGCTTAGCGTGGCGGCGCAGCTGAGGTGTGGCTGGAGGGGTAATGAAACTGTGCAGGGCTCGGGGGGTCAGCCGGCCACTGGTGTGCAGCGGGATACAGGTATCTGAGAAGCCCTCGCTGAGGCCGGGAGCCGGGGAGTCCGAGGCAGGCAGAGCTGACACAGAGACAGAGCGGGGGCCCTGGGCACCACCACCCACTCTGCCCAGCAGGGAGCTCCCTGGGGGCCAGGCCAGGCTGGCTGGTGACAGGGTGTCCACAGATGGCCCTGAGCTGCTTTCCCGACGAGCATCTGAAGAGCTCCAGCCAGAGTCCTCTTTGTGCTCCCCTCCTGTGGGCCAAGGGTGCATGTCACAGAAGGTTGGGGCTAGCAGGGATTTGCAGGTGTGAATGTCCAGAGAGGTGGGCACTCAGTCTGAGGGGGCTCCATGCCTTAGCAGAGGCTCCAACACCAGCCTTCACACCAGGCTCACAGAGTACCTGCACCACGTCACCCAGGTGATGAGGCCATCAGCTCAGTTACAGTATGACTGTCCCCAGAACACGGAAGGGGAGCAAGGCCCAGAGAGGGACTGGCTCATGCAGGGCCCTTACTATCATGTCTGGTGACAGTAAGCTGGGAAATGTACCCCAACACAGCAGTAACTTCAGTCAGAAAGGAAACAGTAACTGAGCCTTGAGACTTAGGAAAGAGAAGCTGGAATGTGTGAAGGAAGGGAAACTTCAGTTAAAGAAAATTCAAGGGCTGGGGTGTAGTTCAGTGGTAGAGCCCTTGTCTAACATGTGTGAGGCCTCGGTATGATACTCAGCACCACAAGAAAGAAAAGAGAATGATTCAGATGTCAGCAAAGCACATGCCAACTTCAGACAGCCACACCCTTCCGAGAGGAGCCTGAATGTGACTCTTGGCTGCCCTCACTATCACCCTCTCCTGGCCACTGAGATCATGAGGCTCTGTGGGTTTGAACTCAGTGGCAGGCACAGTCAGCCCTCTCATTCAAACCTCTGCTGGATACTGGGCATACAGGTATAAAAAAAGACACACCCAAGCTCAGCAAGTTCAATGACTGAGAGTGACAGACATGCAACAAAGTGTACCAGGAACTGTGACAACATTGGGACTCTGGAGAGGAGGAGGACGCAGCATCAGCCTGGGGGTGAGGGCAGAGCCAGCGGGCAAAGAGGGAGAGGAAAGTGTACCAGGTAGGGGGAACAGCACATGCAAAGCAAGAGAACACACCATCAACAATCCAAATTGCAACTGCAAGATGATGCAAAGAAGAATGTAAGATTCATCAGAGTCAATGAAACAGCAAGAGTCAGCGCAAAGGACATAAAAAACCTGTTCACAGAAGTAATGGGAGAACATAGCATCTTCAGATAATGACAGAGTCCTTTGGACCTCAAGAGGCTGGTACAAGTTCAGGAGAGACAAGAGATGAAGATGGAGGGGTCAGTCCAGCCACCTCGGGCAAGGCCTCAGATGTCATGCTAAGGATGACACAGGTCTAAGCCAGGAGGAGGTGGGGAGACTCTGAGGGGTGGAGGGCAGGGGAAAGAGCCAAGGGCTGTCAGAGGAAGGAGAAGTAGCCTCTCTCCTCCCAGCCCCATCACAGAGTGAGCTTGGGAAGGGAGAACATGCACCTCAGCACTGGAGCCCTTCCACTGCGTGCTGCACATGCCCCATCTCCCTCAGCCTCCCTGCTGTGCTTCCCTTCTCCCCAGCGGCCAAGTGAGGTTGGGGACACTGCCCAAGGTCAGGTGGCTAAGAATGTGATGGGATGGGAGTTGAACCCTTCAGTCTTGACCACAGCACCGTGCCCCTTCTCTCCCACAATGCTATGGATTCTGAGTACATTAAAACATCTTCGGAGGTAACGATATGTGTGAGGTCATCTGAGGAGGTCAGGTCTCACCATCTATGGTCTATGGGAGTAGAGAAGACTTCGCCTTCATAATTCATAAGGTGCCTTTGTGCATTCTATCCCCTCCGCCAACAAACCTCCTCCCACTTCACTTCATGGTGTCTTTCTATTCTGTTTCTAGTCAGCTGGGCAGGGCAAGTTAGCCTTCTCTGATGCTGTGGCTCCTTTAGAACTACATCCACAACAGCACGGCTTAATATGCTAGCCTACTGGGGGCACTGGATATATCCTTCCTGCTGAGGGCATGATAAAACAGCTCCTCGAATCTGTGGGCTAGTCTGCCAAGGTAACAGGCTCCAGATTCAAGCTGCCTATAATCACCACTGTTTTGGGTCAGCTCAAGGATGGCAAATGGGGACCTGCTGTGATGCCACCCAGTCATGGCAGTGGCTGTTTGACAGTGACTGTGGAGCTGCTCACAGCAGAGTTCATGGACTCACTAGTGATGCGTGAGATGGATAAAGGATGGGGAGTGTGAGACTGATCATTCTCTGTTCACCAGCACAGAGAATCATCTCTCACCTGTCCTAAGACCGGAGATCACAACGAACATGAGGTCAATCACTCGACAGGCCTAATACTCAAAAGAACAGTGCCTAAGAACACCACCTGAACTTGTTTCATCTTCACAACAACCCTGAGTGAGGGGTTGCTATGACCTCCATAAGACATATAAGGAAACTGAGGCACAGAGAGCTTAAGGAACTGGCCAAGGTCCCACGGGTTCTAAGTGGTCACAGAGGTCCGATTCCACAGCCCACCTTTGCTTTGACTGGGCTGCAGTGAACAGCTAAGGAGGTGAGCTGATGTGTTACCCAGAGATCCCAGCTTGGGAGCTCAGCCTTTCCACTGCTGGGAAACAACCCAGTCACCAGTGGAGCCCAAGGCTCAACCACTGTCAGCAGCTGCTGTGTGTCCTTGACCAAACCCTCCCCGTCTCTGGTCGGGCTCAGGGCTCAGGGCTCAGTCTCCTCCTCTGTAGGGATGCGGATGTGGGTCACACCTCTGGTATTTATCTCCAGCACCTTCCAAGTTGCCCACAGATCAAGATTTTCTAAATTGGGTGAAACTCTCTACACAGTACTCTGTGTTCAGAGGTCTTGGTAAAAAACAGCTAGGGAAGAATTAAACCTAATACTCTTTGGGGAAAAAAAAAAAATCAAACAATATAAACCTTACTGATTTCCTTAAGCCTCAGGCAGCCAGAGAGAAAACAGGCAGCTCAAATAATTAAAAATAGGCCTAATTCCATTCATTAGGCTCATTTTAATGCCTCATCTGTGTGGTAGACGGGGTGTTAAGTCAGGCATTTGAAGCTATTTCCAAGACAAGATTCGGAGAGCCTGCGAATAACTCCCAAGGTCCTTGTCATAATGCCAGGATTACACATTCAGCTGGGAGAGCCATATACATGCCTCCAGCTGAAAAACCGCACCATTTCTCTAGTCATGCTTGGCTCAGGCTAAGCCCACATCAGCGCGTGTTTCTGAGCACAGAGCTCAGTGTGTCACTGGGGCTGGCAGCAAGAGGAGAGCGGGTTGGGATCAGAGAGGGCAGAGAATGGAATGCAGGAAGCTGGTGAAGGGCACCCCCCTCTCAGACACCTTCCCTGGGGGCAGGTCACACAGGGCCGGCCAGCAGAGATTCTAACAATGTAAACCTTCCTGGGCTTGACTGGCCAGAATGGCCAAATAAGATCCAGAGTCCTGTGGACCCTGGGAAGCCTCCCTTCTGGCCCAGGCCAGTCACATACTTTGTGAACATCTAGCCAGCCTTTCCAAGCTGCCCAGCCTGAGCCACATCTGCCCTGCCCCATGCCCTGCCTTGGCAGAGGACCCACCCCAAGGCCAGACCTGGGAGTCAGGCACAGGCAGAGGCCTGGAAGGAAGCAAGCCCCACCTACCCAGGCCTGTCACCTTCCGAAGGCAGGTGAGGGCTTGCTGCAGGCGGCCACACTCCTCGGCGCTGGCACCGCAGCGCTGCAGTGTCTCCTTCACCTTGGCCTCGTCCATCTCCAGCAGGGCATCCAGCTGATCCCCCTTGAGCTTGTGGAGGATCTCCTGAGGGGCACAAGCAGAGAGCCGGGTGAGCAGTCAGTCAGCAGCGCCACAGCATCCTCGGCCTGGCCTCCCTGGTGAGTGGCAGGGGCCAGCTGCTGGCTGGGCCAGCCTCCCCGACTGAAGCCACCACTTGTCTGAGGACACAGGCACCTCCCCACCCTCAGCGCTCCCACAGACAGCAGCTGAAGGGAGACGCCAAGTTTGGGGTAGGTGCAGGGGAAGGAAGAAAACACAGGAAAGCTTTGCATGAGGGAGATTCTTTTCATTCCTCTGCACCGGAGTTAGGAATCATGGTCACTGTTACAATGACCAACACTTCAAAGATGGCCCTTTATAACTATGTCCTGCCTGAATCAGATGAGAAATTTCAAATAAAACTGGCCCAACAAAGAATTAAGAAAAAAAAAAGAACCTCAACAAGCTCCACAGAGGCACTTATTAATTTGTTTATTTAACTCATTCAAAACTGGTCGCCTGTGGGGAGTGGTGGGACACGCCTGTGATCCTGGCACCTGGGAGTCTGAGGCAGGAGGACTGCCCTGAGTTCAAGGCCAGCCTGACCTACATACTGAGACCCTGTCTCAAAAAACCAAAAAGAGCAACAACAAAAACCCAGTCACCCAGCCCACATGATACCTAAAGACAGGGGACCAGACAGGCCGTGTCACCTAGTAGGAAAGGATGAGACTAGAAGAATAAAAGGTGATTTAGGACCCTTGCCCCAGGTGCTATTCCCAGTGACGTTATATTACAGGACAATAGGGAAATAGGCCAAGTAGGGTTACAAGAGCCCTTCAAACACAAAAGATTTTCTCTGAGTGGCAGCAGAGTTAAACGTAAAAAGAACGTGGTAAGGACTTTGTGGAGACAGAGAAGGCAACCTGAGAAAGAAGGCAGGTGGCCTCTTCAACAAAGGGTGACACCAGCTGACAGGCAGCAAGGAAATGGAGGAGGGAACCTCAGCTCCATAGACATAATGGGGCACTGAGAAAGATACCCCAAGATGTGGGCATGTTGAGTAGCGTGATCTAAACTTAGGAAATTGGCCTTAAAAGTGGGCTTAGCATCCAGTTCCCTCTAACCTTGTACTGCTTCTCCCTCCAATGTTCTCTCTGGAAGTCTTTTTCTCCATTAAGACCAGAATGCAAGCTGGGTGTGGTAGCACATGACCATAATCCCAGCCCGTGGAACACTGAGGCAGGAGGACTGCAAGTTCAAATCCTGCCTAGGCAACTGGGCAAGACTATTTCAAAAATTTTTGAAAATTAAATAAAAAGGGCTGGGGATGCGCTTCAGTGGTAGAGCATCCCTGGGGTTTGATCCTTAGTTCCAAAGTGGAGAGAAAAAATATCAGACTGCAATAAGGAGCTCCACTGCCTCTGTCCCATCCAAAATCTGGCATCTACCTCAGAAAAGATGGCTAGGGACTGCAGCTGCACCCGCATGGCCTTCCACTGCGAGACAGTGTCTATACCTTGGGCTCACCCAAATTCCAAGAGAATCAGAAGCCACTTTTGTCACTGGGAACACTCTCCCTAATTATCACTTAGGGCCTCTACATTCCCAATGTCCCTCTCCCTTTACAGGAAAAGGGTATATAAGCCTGGAAAATGTTTTGGGCTAATGGGAGTAGAGTATGTGATTCTGTCTATGCATGTAGTAAGCTCACATGTCTTTTCTCCTATTTAACCTGTTTTTTTTTAAATTCTTTTATTGGTACATTTTAGGTATATAATACATTTACATTTATCATTGGATGCTTGTACCTGTATGTGATGTATCTTGGTTCTTATTTTTTTCCTCATTACCTGTGCACCCTTCACCCCCTCCACCCTTCCCTATTTATACAGATTTTGTTTCCATTTTTTTCCTTTTCTCATAATTTTTCCTTTCCCTTCTTCCCTTTCCCCCTCCCCTCCCACCACCCCTACACCTTTGGACCTTTTCCTATTTTAAATGACCAATTATTTGTTTAACCTGTCTTTTGTCAGTTTATTTCAAGGGACCATCAAAGGGTAGGCAGGAAACTGCCTTTCACCCCTAAACCCAAAAGGAATTGGATTCTACCAACAACCTAAATGAACTCCTAAGTGGTCTCTTTCCCAAAGCTTAGAGATACTAGGCCTGCCTGGCCAAAGCCTTATTTGGCCTTTTAAAATTCTAAACAAGGAAGGTAGCAGAACCTACCTAGCTTCCCCTATTCATTACCCACCTACTAAGCTGTAAGCTAATACACGGGAGAGGCTTTAAGTCTCTAAATATGTTAAGTGGCAATAGAAAAGTAATACAAAGAATTAATATTTGAATCAAGCTTAACTGACTTCAAAGCTTTGGCTTTTCTCAGAAGGAGGTACACACAAGCCTGCAGCTGATACAAAAAACAATGGGGCCATGTCCCTTGCCTCCCTGGGCTTGCAGCCGTGTGTGTGTGTGCGTGCGTGTGTGTGTGTGTGTGTGTGTGTGTGTAAGGGGGTGTCAGTATCAACAAGAAATTACAATGCAGGAAGAGCAGAGAGAGAGCAAAAAGGTACATGACCAGATTGGGTTCTTTTTTCTTCTTCTTTAGCCCTTTCTGTATTTTCCAGATTTACTATAACAAGGAAGGCTAGATACAATCCTGTAAAGTTCACAGTTCTTGAGAATCTGATTTTCAATGATTTTTTTCCCCAGCAAGTTTGCCTAATTTTATGGTTTTTTTTGGTACCTGGGATCGAATTGCGGGGCAGGCAGTGGAACCACTGAGCTAAATCCCCTGCTTCTAATTTTACTTTTAAAAAGCAACATCAATGTCAGTGCCTTCATAATGCTGTAGACTCAGTTCTCAACACTGAACGTAATGGAGAAACTGGCCAGGCTCTGGGGACAATGATGGGGAGCCCCAAGCCCCTCCTCCCTCCATAGTGCCTTGGGCAGGCACCTCTGTGCCTTGCCAGCTATTCTCCCCCCTCCAGGGACCTGGGTAAGATTCTTATTGCTGTTTAGGACCATTTACACCAAAACGAGAAACAGATGCATAATAGTACCAAGAAGCTCATCATTGGTCAGACAAACCTTTGATTGTCAGAAATTCCTCTAGATGATAAAGAGGAAAACAGGAAAGCACTGATAAGGCCAGCACAGACAGGGGCAGCTGATTAAATAATGATCCCACACGTGCCTTCCTTTGTTCCCCTCAGCAACTCTCTTCTCCACTGCAGTCCAGTTTTGACATCTCTCCCCTCTCTTTTACATGAGGGAATTGCTGGGGCAGAACAGAAGTGACCCTCACTTTAACAGACCTGCTGGGAGCAACTCCCCACCTTCTACAAATGGAGTCCTCTCGGTTCATCACCCACAAACACCCACGAGCGGGCACACACCCTGAAGCACACATGCAGACGCACATACAGACACAGTTTTCCAGGCTGTCTGTCTGTGATAAGCCAGCTGTGTGCTGGAAGATGCGATCTGTCTGACAATGGGGTTTCTTTTTCCCTTCCTTTGTATTCCCCAATCTCCCCACCCACTCCCAGTTTCAATTTCTCAAATAACTACATTCATTATTAGAAGCTACTTGCCAGCAAATATACCCAGCGCTTGTGTACATTATCTCCACTCTAAACAATCCAGCAAGGAGATGCTGTTCAGTTCATTTGGTAGGTTCTGAGACCTCATGTGAGTTAATAAAAACAGCTGGGCCAGAATGAAGGCCAGATGTGCCAGATTCCAAAGCCCCTTCAATGATCCCATGCTGTCTCTTGTTCACCTTGGAACTTAGAAGTTACTTTTGTTTGGGAGGGGTGTGGGGGGGATTACTGTTTCAAAGTAAATTAAAATTCTACCTACTTTCTGAAAAAAACTACACTGTAAAATAAAATGTTCTTTGTTCTTTATGCAACTGAACTAACTCCCAGGAAAAGAGAAAGACAGAATATGTTCAAATCTATCTCCTCAAAAAATTAAAAATGTAAAAAGAAAGGACGCCCCCATAGCTTCAAATTAGCAAGAAAATGTCTGTCAGGCCCCTGTGGCTTCAGGCACCAGTGTATTCCCCTTAAATAAGGCAGGAGGGGCTCCTTTCCTTTCCCTCCCTTGCGCCCTCTCTTTATGCTCCAATTCCAGTGTTAAGGATGGGCCAGACCACACTAGAGGTTGGGCAGGGGTGCTGGGCAAGAGAGCCATTCTAGGGCCTTTATTATCAGAGCTGCCCCTGGGTCTCCTAGGATAGGCAACTGCTTCCTGGGCCATGAATGGAGCATTCTCACCACAGGGAAAGTGGTCACTTAGCACACCACTGCCCCCAAGATTATCATCGTTATTCCTAAGCAACTGTTCCTTGTATTGGTCAGTCTCTCTTCCCTGAAGGACCACCCTGGACTCCTTAGAAGCTGCTGTCAAAGGAGTTATCCATCAGTCCACAAGCAGGTCACCTGGCAGAACGAGGGTCTCACATGCTTTCCTCCTTAGACAGCAGCAACGGCAAAAGAGGAAGCCATAGGGCAGCACCAGACCTTTTGAGTATTAAAGAAATCTGAATTTTTATTTTTGAATGGTTGATTTTTACATGGTGGCAACTAGCTCAAATCTGTGCAGACAGAAAAAAATCACATTCACAGAGCTACTGGGTCTCAGCATGGACACCCTGTAGGAACCAATGTGATGCCTTCCAATGGTCGAACTAATAAATGACTTTTTTTGAGACAGGGTCTCAGTATGTAGTCCAAGTGGACCTTGAACTCACTACATGGCCCAGGATGGCCTCGAACTCAGCACTCCTCCTGCCTCAGCCTCCTGCGTGTTGGGATTACAGGCATGTGCCACCACACCTGGCTCAGTGACTTCTAAAGCTTTATTCCTACATGCAAATGACACTTCCCAGCAGCAAGGACTCTGGGTGGCCAGGCCTTCTTAGGGAGCCACCCACCCTGGATACAAAGTGCTGGCAGCCAGACTATCTTGGGGCTCAAAGTTAACCAAGGGAAGAAAATGCATGAAGTAGTTGTTATGCTTGAATCTGGGGG